TATAATAACAAGTTTTATAAAATTAAACAATTTATTTTATATATTTCTGTAAACAATAAAGAATAAGTCTTGAAATTAACATTAATAAATTTTTTATAACACACCAAAATTTCTATAAATTATGAAATTAACCACTAATAATTTAAGATAATGAATAAAAAGATCTTTATTAAAATGGTAGAAAAGCAGTAAACTTAAAAGATAGTCTTGTAATAGTTTATTAGCTTTTTATAAATATCTCTAATTTATTTGATTAATTTAAAAAAATGCAATAGAAAAGAAAATAGAAATACTTTTAACAAAGACCTTAATTATTATCTAAATATTCCAGGAGTAATTTATAATCGTTAAATTTAGTATATTTCAAAATTTGAAATATTCTTAATACTGAAAGTTTGCTGATAACAATTTCAGTAAAGCAACTACAGTTTTCCATAAAATATTGGTTCCACCAAAAAACATTATTCTAAATTCGCCCTAAAATATCAGCAAAAAATGTTACAACACATTTAACAAAAAATTGGTGCATTCAATATTATATTTTGAGCTATGTTATTTATTTTGGTCAATTTATAAAATTACTAATGGAGAATTTCACTTGTGTTTGCATCAAACATATAGATTTGGAGTAATTAAGGATGTGTATTTAGGCAAATTTTTCTAAAATTAATTATAAACTTCCACTAAGAGATACTCCTTTTTAAAGGTGTTTCGAAGCCTGTGGAGAATCATAAATCAATCTTATTGAAACTAGTTCTATAATTATATCATTCAATAATTAAAATTTTTATGCCTATTCCTATAAAATTTCAAATAATTCACAAGTTATCTAAAACCTATTACCTAAAAGGAATTTCAAATTCAGTTCTATAAATCCGTATAGTTTAAATAGAGTATTATTTTAAATTTATAATTAAAAAATACTTGTTTTCCAATAAAATAACAGAATTATATTTTTGTTTTAAGATTAAAATAGATTTTAAGAATTCAAAATAGAAAACTATAATTCTTAAAATTATATTCACATAAATAAAACAAGGTATAAACAAAGTATAAATTGAAATCAAAATTGATATTATCTTTTTTGACTAATTGATGTTTTTCTAGAAGAATAAGATCGATATCTGATTTAATCGAGTCTTTATTTGTATTTCCATTTGTTAAAATTTATTTAAGTAGGTAACTAGATGTCATAGCATTCAATGTAGGTTTTGTGTTTTTATTCTGGTAATTTGAAATATTCTTTTTAAGCTCTTAACCATTATTTAGGATCCCCAAAAGTTTTTGTAGCTTCTTGTGTTGCTTAAAGCCTTACCTATTTTGTTTAATCAATTGCAGTTTTAATAAAATTTTAAAATTCTAATTATTTTTCTTTGCCTATTTAGTTACTCTTAATTTCATCCAATTTAATTTTATTTTTGGTTAATCTCTAACTTGTAATAAAGGAATCATTAAAGTATTTTTAGCAATATTCTCTAAACGAGATTTCTGGAAGACATGATTTATTTCTCATTTTAATATAATTTTTATTGATTCTAATATTAAGAAAATGAGATCAAATTAATCATTAAAAGTAATTCACTTATTTATCAATTGTAATTTTTCTTATGATTTCTTTTTATTTGCTTTAATTTTATCTAAAAATCCTAAATCTCATAATAATTATTTCAATTAATAAAATCAAATAGCTTTTACTTTGATTCTTCTATCTTTTTAAAGTTAAGTTTTAAATCTAAAGTAAATCGAACAAAAAGATTGCTAAACTCAATTGATTTGAAAATTTGCTTTTATTTTATAGATCTGCCAATTCTATTAAAACACTCTATACGTGAACTTATATTACATTTATTTTATTTAAGAGTGTTAACGTACACTTGATCTAACTAATCCTAAATTCTTTGATATTTATTTAGCTATCATTATAAAACATAATCAATATATTTTTCATCAATTCTATCATTTGAGTTAAGTTTTTCATTAAATATTCTAAAATAAATTGAAAATAATTACCATTTATTTCATGAATCTAAGCTAGCAACAAAAGTAATTTCTCATAACCTTTTACATATTGGATGATATCATTTTTATTTCTAGAAAACATTATTAATAGAATTTTAGCATATATCAAACATTTCATTTAATCATTTCATAGCTTTTTAATTAAAGAAAATCATTCAAATTTTAGTTTTAATATATTTTGATCTATTTCTAATAATTCAATTCTAATTTTTCCTTTTAACAAAAGATTAAATTTAACTCTAAAATCAAACAACTAAGTTTATTATATTTTACTCAATAATTTAAATGATTGATTTATTAATTTGAAGATTTTTGATATTATTATTTTAAATAGATGGATTCTTAATAAAATGATAGAATTTATTCCTATTCAACAGTCTTATGAAATATTTAAATATTAAAAGTCATACCATTTAAAATTTAGATTGTTTTTCCATATAAATGATAAATATATGATAAATATTAAAGGAACGACAAAACTTAATGAGTTAATCCTGAACAATATTTTCAATTTAATGGCAATAATCAGATTAAAATACTAATCCCAATCAAAAAATGTCACATTACTCTTCATATTATGATTATTAAGTCATTTATAATATATCTAAACAATGTATAAATAATTCTCTAAAATTTTAAATCTTTTAATACCTCATTCAAATAGCTTATTTGCAATAATAAAAGTTCTTAATTTTATTAACATAGTCATTAAAAAATTAATTTATACGATTAATATTAATTTGGATAATTTTTTCTTCATTTAAAGTTTTATATCCTCTTAACATTATCGATTATAATCTAAAGGTATTTATCTTAATTTATCATCATTCTTATTCAGTCAATTGAGCTTTTTCTAGTAAATACTTAACTAATAATCTTCGATTAAGGTGTCTATACACTAAATAAATACTATTTATAGATTTTAGCATTGTAATCATCCTTAAAATATGCTAATCTTGTGTTTTTGCAAAATTTAAATCTAATAATCATTTCTTTAAAGATTGAATAATATAAGAATTTAATTAATTTGATAATTTTAATAACTTTAGAAATAAAAGACATTAATGCATATATAAACAGATTGCTTATCCATTTCTATCAATTAGAATATAATTATATATAATTTTTGCCATTTAATAATTAAATTATTTATAAAATTAACAGCTATACATTAATATGATTAATTAATATTGGATGAAAATATTTTTATTAGATCAGAAGTTTTCGCAATCATAATCATATTCCACAGGTGGTTACTATTACATTCGAGGAGCATCAATAGTATGAATAGGATTCAATTATTTGTAGTATCTCATAGCCACTTCATGATTACCCATTTAATTATAATGTCTAAAGAGATCTTGAATTTGCTTTTATTTTTGCATGTCTTGTGCCTTAATAAATAAAAAATTAATTACAATATTTTGGAATTCGTGTAAATGTTAATATTCTCTTTATAATTTTTATTTTTTGATATATTCTTTTTTTTCTTAATATTCCTTTCTAAATATAATGAAAATTATTTAATACTATTTTTCTTTTTCATCATCAAATGTTTGCATTTCAAATTCTGCTTATTATATTTATTCTTTAAGTTATTCTTTTTCAAACCATACTTTAAAATTATAGAATTTTTATGATGGAAAAGTTGCTGTGTTATAGCATTCCACATATTCCTCAAAGTATTTCTTTTCTTCTTAAGGAGTTATTGCTTCTACATTTAATACTTTCACATCAGATAACCACATTAAAAACTCTTCACGTTTTAAATACATATCTGTATTACTTTAATATTAAAAATACATAACCTGATGGTGCCATATTTACCCCATTAATCTTTTTTGGGTTTTTTCTTTATGGTTTCATTCTTATTTTTTTTATCCTTTTTTATATGTTTTTCTTTTTTTTCCTTTTTCTCCTTTTTATCCTTTTTATCTTTTTTTTCTTTCTTCTCCTTTTTTTCTTTCTTCTTTTCCTTACTAGAGGATCTCTACTCAAAATAACTCATATTTTACTTTATCTTCTTTGAGTTTATCCTTTCCCATCAATCTAAAAATTTGATAATTTATTTAATAATAATAATTGTAAGATTTATATATTTAGAATATATACAAAAAATAATATTAATAATCCATAAAGTCTTTACAATATTAAATAGATTATTAATATTATTCTTATTGATTAAATCAATTTTTCAATTTTTATAAAGTTTAAAGTACATGCTAGCCAAATTAAGTATTAAGTTAATTAGGTTCTGGATTTATTTTTAAAAGTTAATTATAATCAAGTTATTTACAAAAATTTTATATGACATAATTCCCATAACAATTATTAGATAATCTATAGAAAACATTCATATTGTTAATGAATATTTTTAGGATTTCTTTTCTCACAAATGAAGAAATATTTACACATTTATCAACCACATTACTAATAAATGAATTTCATATATACCTTCCAAATTTATCACAACTAAGTTTTTCTAAATTTCTAATAATACTAGCCTGGATTTTTTGAGAAACTTCAAAAGGGCCTTTGTAAAGTAGAATTTAAATAATATAGTTTCCATATTATGATAAACATAATTCATCTTATAAAGCTAATAATTCTTTATAGACATAATTTAACTAATTTAGGAATATAGAACAAATAATATACTTAAGGCATTGAAGACTATTCTAAGATTTGTTAAATTAATCTACAACCATGAGAGTCATTTGATAACTTTTAGATCTATCCTAAAACTCCTTCAATTAACCAATCAATCTTTTATTCTTTCATCAATTCAGCAATTTTTTATATAACATGATTTCCATTAATATCTACAACAAGATTTCTAATTTAAGATGAAAGAATTGTAAAAATTTTTTGGAATTTATCAGTATTATAAGAAATTTCTAATAATTTCTAAGCCACTCTGCATCCATAAGTGTTGTAACTGAGTACTAAAATAGATTAAGATAATTAATCAAAGATTAAATCTCTTTATTTTTAATTGCCTTATTCTAAGATTCTTTAAACAACGTAATTTCCAAATATATCATTAGCTAATTGAACTATTCCAGGTAATATTTTTATAAAAATTTATTCTTTTTATTCGGGATCTCCTTTTTCAAACAAGCTTTAAATTTTTCTGCTGTTTTATTGATCTTTACATTTAAGAATCTATTTTGATGATAATAAATACTAAATCTCCATCAAGGTATGGATCGTCATCCAATGAAAATGATTGCATTGCCCAACAATCAAGTTTAAATCCAATGATTGGGCTTTGTATTTTATTTAATGAATATCTATATTGTTAAAATACAATTACTATAATTATTTTTAGTGTCGTACAATTTAAGGAGAATAAGTCCTGTTAGTTTCAGATCTTGTCATTGATGGAGAGAAGGATCTCTCTTCATCACTTTCGAGAGCTGTAATTCTATTAAGTAAAAGGTACCATTAAGAATGGAATCAATAATTTCTTTATCATCTTCTTCAGGATCCATGTAATTAGTCATTTATTCTAATTTTACTATTATATTAAATATCTTAATATTTTATTATTAGTAGATATTTAATATGGGGATAACTTTAAATAATGCATAAACATTAAAAAGATATCCAATTTAATTTTATCCATTGCATTGAATCAGATATAATTTTTGTTAATAAATTAATTAACATATAAAATGGCTACTCAACCATTGTTAGAGACATTACCCAAAGACTTTCACAAGATGCCTCCTAATTATGACTTTTCACATAAGGGTATTATTGAATTGTAATATAAGGAATCAATTGGAAAGATTATGAGAAAGATTTTGTGTTAAGGACTGATGCAGTTTGGGAAAAAGATCAATTAAAAGATTGGTTTAGATTATATACAAAAGTAAATAACTCTATAATTTTAGTGTTTTTACTTTGATACAACAGCAAATAAATATTCTTTGATGGAGCCTGATGATGTGTATACTATATTATTTGAAGGATGTAATGGATTATTTACAAATCTAATATAGGGGCATTGGAAGATTGTTTATTTCCTTTTAGAGGTACAACTCCAACTGGCAGAACTAATTGTTTCTAAGTTGGTTTACCACCTAAATAAAAAGTCTATGTTCCTTATCCAACATATTAATCATAATAAGATTACTTTACTCTCTGTGCCTTGAGATTTTAAAAATGGTTTGATTGTGATTAAGCTGAGCATTTCAAAATGGATAAAACTGAAGCTGATTATTTGAAAAGAGCAAAAGTCTATCCATGTTATGCTATGTTTTATGAGGCTGCTTATGCATGCACAGTTATTTATTTATTTTACATTATAGGATGATATGTTTGATTTCCTTATGGAATTAGCATATACAAGACGATCAAATAGAACATTTGAATATAACCATTTCCAACATGAAATGCGTCGTCCTCCAACTGTTTATGATTCTCCTAAAAATGCAGAGAGAATTAAAAAAACATATTGAAATATCATTAGTAAATGTAAAATAATATCATAATCTATCCTTATAATGAATGACAACTCTTTAATCAAAATTTATTAATCAATTTTTTTTATTCTTCAATCCATCATTTTATTCTAATTTTTTTCTATTTATATTTACTTATACATTTTTCTTATTACATTCTTATCATTTATAATTCAATTCCTTAAAAAATTTTAGATTTTTCTTAATAAGAACAAATTTTTAATTATCCTATTTCTATTATTTTATCTTTCTTGCTTAGTCCAAATAATTTTACTGTTTATCAAAATATTTTTAATTAAAATTCTTTTTAATAGTTTTCTAATGGAATGCCCTTGTAATTTTTTCATTTTTTTAACATCAAATCAATCTAAATTAAATAATTAATTCATAAATTAAAATTAATTTTTCGGCTATTTTCTATCTAATCATGCCCTTTTTCAATATCAAATTATATTATAAACAATATAATATGCTTGCTATATTTTATTAATAAATTAAAAAAAGCTTATTTACTAAAATTTAATAGACAATAATGTCGTCAATTAGTAGTTTAAGTTGGGATTAATAAGAAAATCCATAAAAAACTAAATTCAAGGAACTTTATTTAAATAAATATAGGATAAAACTAGGTCTATTATCTAATCATAAAGAATAATTACCAAAATCAGTATCAATCATTTATTAACTTTTTAGAAACCTAATCAACGAAATATTTCAATCAAAGAATTAGATCATTTAATAAAACCAGAAATGATCAAAGCAAAAATTATACCAGATAATTAAAAGGTACTCACAGCTTAATTGTTAAGCAAGGTTATAATGAAATAATAATAATAAGAATATTTTTGTCATTTTCCTGAAATGACTAAAAAAAAGACAAAAAAAAGATCATAAACTTAGCAACATATGTGTAATTAATAAAGTAAATAACAAAAAACATTTGCTAGAACTGCTTATTTAATTGTGATATGATATATGTACTATCATTATTTAGTAACTTATTTCATGCTGTTGATACTTTATTCAATTAATTTCACCATTGCGATAATATCATCAAGTAATTCATTCCTATACATTGCTTCAATTTTTAATTTCGGTCCACATTTAAAACACTCTTTATTGTATCCTTTCTTGCATTCAAAACAATATGAATGTCCACATGGAATGATTGTAACAGGTTGCTTTATAAATTTATTACAAAATGTACAAGTTAAATTCTTCTATATATCTTTCTATTTATATTAAATAATATATATATACATCAGTTTTTTCTAATTATAAAATTGTATCTGTAATTTATTTTGTATTTTTTGGTTTAGATAATTATTCCTTTAAAGCATCTAATTGAGTATTCAAGCTATGAATTTCAGATTAGTTATTCTAATTTTATTAGTCTAATAATTATTTTTAATTTTTCAATGATTCTAACTATTATAATTTGTCTTATAACTATTACTATATTTCTTATTATTTTTGCTTTAATTTTTCAAGTTGATTATTTAATTCAATAGAATTTTTTGATTATTCATCAATTTTTTATCTTAATGAACTAATTTCTTTCTACATAACTTAATAATCATACATCTTTTGTTTTTTATAATTCAGAAAGTTATAATTTCAAACTTAACAATTATTCATTTAATTTACTGTTTTAATCATTTTAATCTTTAGATTTTTTTAAGTTCTCAATGATAGTAATTTTTTCTTACTCTAGTTATTTAATTTATATCAAAGAAGCTGAAATTTCTTTGTTTAAATTCTACTCTTTCAATTAACTATCATTCTTATATTAATCATATTATTTCTTAATATTATTTTTATCAGTAACTTCCTTATCTATACTTTTTTAAATATCAGTAATTTAATGTTCCATTTTATTTTGCATATCCTTATTTATTAAGAACAATTAATACTTCAGCTTTATGCAACTAATCTTTTAATCTTCTAAATTCTTCATTACTTTCTTCTTTACTTTTTAACTTTTCCTAATATTAAGATATCTATAAGTTTAGTTATTCTATTTATTATAATAACTCTTATTAATTTGCTTATGACTATTTAATACTAATTTCTAACGAATTAATTTTTTCTCTATCTTTTTCTGCTTATAAATTATATTTAGATGAATCTCCTGCTTATTTAAGTCTTAATTATATTGCTTAATAACTAGCTTATAATTCTTGAAGTTATTTAGATTTCTCTTCATTTTATATTTTTTCTTTAACTAACTCTTATTTCATTGATTCAAATCCTTTTTCAATTGATACAATCATATCATTTCTATGTTCAATATCTTTTTTATGCATTTCTAGTTTTGAATCTATTTAACGTAATAACTATGACTCACTCACAGGAGCTTATTTCTGCTTTTTATTTAAAGATTCTGAAACAGTAGTATTGTTACTTATAATATAAGTATTGCTTCCAAATTTCAACTTTCTCTATATAGTATGCAATCTTCCAGGATAAGAATCTTCATCATCAATAGACGGTCTATTGTTAATTTATGGTAAAGCTTTAATTGTACTTCTCATTATAATAAATTTAATTATAAAATTTAGATCAATCATAATACAATAGTAATACTCACTATATTTACTTTTAACAAATTTAAAATGGGAAAGTAGAAAATTTTGATAAAATAAAAATAAACTCTAAAGTAAATTACCATTAAATATTTCTTCTTAGCTTATATTCAGTTAAATCTTATAATTATCTATTTTATTTTATTACATTTTTATCATGAATTTTAATTGATGTTCAGGTCTCTTCTTCCTCTATGTAATTCTATTAAATTGTTCAATTATTCTCTTATATGTATTCACAACTCATAAAAAAATAAATTAATGTAGCATTCTATTTTTAACATTAATTTTTCAATATCAAAATAAATAGAACAATAATATTGAATTTTAAAGTATTTGCAATACAATAACAACAGAATCTACAGTATTTTAAAATTTGATAATATAATTCTAATATTGTTTAATTTTTACATTACAAAATTGAAATAAGAGAAGAATGCATGATTATATTGCTAATTAAAATATCTTCTAAAGTTAACTTTCTACTTTATAATAAAATTTAGATATAATATATATAAAATTGAAAATTTCTTATATCATAAATTAATATAATAAAATTTATATTATTTGAACTATTATTTATTAGATTTTGTATTTAAGTTTAAGTGATATGTGTTAAAATCTGATTTAACTTGATTATTTAGTTTTTATTGATAAATTTATTATTAATAGTAAATAGAGAATTACATAAATAAGCATACAAATATTTATTATTAATTTTAAAAAGTGATTAATATGAGATAAGAATAATTGGAATAGTTAATAAATCTGAAATAGTATTAGGTCAATTGTAATGATGATCCTAACTTTGATCTATTACCGATTTAACCAACTTATAAAGAGGAAATGGATAAAGAAGTGAAAAAGCTGGAATAATAATCTCTTTTTGTAGATTCTTTAGATGTTGATATTCCAAGCCTTAAAAAGAATAGAGAAGAAAAAAGATTAAGGAAAATGGCTAAAATGTAATAATTAACAGATGGTTGGTTTGGAATGAAATCTCAAGATTAAGATGAAACAATGAAATAAGAATTTTTGATTATGAAATTAAAAAAATATCTAGATCCAAAATAACCAGTTAAATCTAGTGATTTTAAAACTATGCCTAAATATTTTTAAGTAGGAACTTATGTTGATGGAATGGGTATTAAATATATTAATTTTTTAGATAATTATAATATAAAAAAGAAAAAGAGAAATCAGAGTGATTTGATTGATCAATTTTTAGAATATGATAAAGAGAAATAAACAACAAAAAACTCATTTTAGAAGATTTAACAAAGATAGTAAAGAATTAGTAAAGTAAATTCAAAATTAAGAAAATTAAAGAGAATGGCAAAATCTATCGGAAAAAAAAATAAATGATAATTATTTATTGTCCTGTCTATATCTTATTTTATGTAATTAAATAACTGTATTTTCTAAATTCAAATAAGTATTAGAAAATTAATATCTTTTAGATAACTATTTAATTAAAATGAGTATTTGTAATGAATTGATTTCTATTGATAAATGATTATTAATAATAAAATATTAGAATGACGGAAGAATTAAATTCAAGTCTTGATTCTTTGGAATTAGAAATTTACCATCGACCTAATCCAAAGATTCAATCTATTTTAAACTATTTAAGGAAAATTGAATTAAGATTTTGCACTGATCCTAGAAAAAAATAAGAAGAATATAGATCTTAAAATGGTACAACACCAAAAGAAGATTTTGATTTGCAAAAAAATAAATTTTTTAATAGAAGATAATCAAATAAAGTAATTGACTGTCCCATTCTCTGAAAGTCATTTTTGATTATCTATATTTTTTATCTCAATCTATAAATTTATTCAAACTATTAATCTCCAATTTTCAAAGACGATTAAAAATTCTTATTAACTAAACAAACAGTTAAATAATTCTTTATTTACATTTTTTTAAATTTCTACTTGTTATTTCTTAGTTTAAGATTAGTTTTAATTCTTTTATTCTGAATTAAATATATGAAATTTACATATTTAAAAAATCAAAGGGATGATAACAAAATAAATCAAAAGAACATTAATAAAATAAATAGTTATTAATATTATCAATTAAAAAAATTAATAATATTATCTAACTTTTTATAATTTATAATCATTTATATAGCTTATGTCTGATATAATCCATTTTATTTGTAATGACTTACAATAAATCAGCCTTAGAATACTTATTTAAAATCGTAAAATAATTTTATTATTCTAAATCTATTTATTGGATATCCATGCAATTTTCAAAAAATTCGTCTAGAATCAAAGATTCCAAGGTTTTTTCTATATGTAATAATTATCTTTAAAATAAAAAATAAAAATACTTGCTTCCACTGGAGGGATTTTTATCCAAAAATTACTATAGATATTAACTTTTCATATCTTCACAATATTTTAATACTAATTTTTTCATAAATGTAATAGAAATTTCAGATGAAGTTAATTCTCTTAATAATTCATTTTCAAAATGAGCAAATTCTGTTCCTTAATAAATATGTTATCCATTTGTTTAAGACTTAAAGAATTTATCTGCTTCTTCTTAATAATGTTTAAACATTTTTCTAGCTGTCTCAACTTCTTTTTAAATTAATGTACAAAAACTTTTATATTCAAAAGTTTTAGTAATATCATTTTACAATTCATGTTTTTTAGCTAAATGGGGAAATGCAGAAACATTGAATTTTTCAACTAAATTCATTCTAATCATTTCAATTAAATAACAAATATATTTAACAAGTAAATATCCACAAAAGACACTTTAAGATTCTCTTTATTCATCTCTCTAAAAATAACAGAAATGAATACTTCATCTTTGCTTAATTCTAATACTTCTTCAACTACTTTATATAGATAGAATATTTTATTTCTTTCCATTAATAAATATTTAAAAGCTTTAGATTCTTTATTCCTCTAAGAATTTAATGATAATTCTTATTAAATTTAATTAGGTTATTATTCTGTATTTTTAATTCCTAATTAAAATAAATAATAAATACTTTCAGCATATGTAAGTTCTCTTTCAAATAAGTCTTTCCAATTGATTCTTTTATTGTAATCTTTTGTTAACATTTTCAATAGTAAATCTTTAGTTGTTTATGATACAACATTAACATTATCTAAAAATTATATTTCTCTTTCTTCAACTGCTAGCATTAATTATGCCATAGTTTTTTCTTCAAAGGGACATATTCCATAAAGTAATTCATATAAAACACAACCTAATGACCAAATATCTGCTTTAATAGTGTATTCTTATCCTTTCAAAATTTCAGGTGCCATATATATTGGTGATCCAACCATAGTTGTAGATAAATCTTATGGAGTATTCAAAGCTTTACAAAATCCAAAATCACCTAATTTAATTTAACCATTATGTAACATAATGTTGCTTGGCTTTAAATCTCTATGCATAATATTTTCTGAGACTAATGATTAAAAGGCTTAAACTAATTGTCTAAAATATTATAAGGCTTCTTTTTCAGTTTAAACTCTATTAAATTATTAAATTCATTATTACCCTTATTCTTAAATTATTGTTTCAAGAGTTTAACCATTACAATATTCATAAACAAAATAATAATTACGAGAACTCTTTAACATTTCAATGAATTTAACAACATGAGGATTATTAATTCTAGCTAGAGTTTAAATTTCATTCATTGTGAATTCCTCAAGTTTAGGAACTTCTTTAAATTTTTCAATTTTAACAACTTTAACAGCAACTAGACTGTTATTCTTAATATTAACAGCTTTGTAAACTTTACCATATTGACCAGAACCAATTACTTCAAGAAGTGAATAGTTTTCAACTACCTTAGCACTCATTAAATTAAATTTTTTATTTTTTATAATATTCGACTTTATTATAAGTATATGATTTAATAGATAATTATTATCAATCGAAATAAGTTATTAGAGCATAGAATATGAATTATTTTGGTAACATTGTATTCTTTTATTTTATATTAATCAGAAATTAACAAGTTTAAACTATAGAGAAAGCAGCCTATAACTACTACTTTTTATTACTTTCTATAATTGATCATTTAAAATAACAAACCTCTTAAATTTAAGTAAGAACTCTTAATAAAAATTCAATTTAAGATTAATGATACTTAACCAACAAATTTATTTAAATAGGAACAATATAAATAAACAAAGAGAAATTAAAATTTAATTTTGCATAAACTTCATTTACCATTATTGATAAAACCTTTATTATGTATATAAACAAGTAGGCAAATTGATAAAATTTAGTTTATAAGTTGTGTATAAAGAGTTAGGAATCTATTTTACAATGATTAAATAAATAAAAAAGAAAGATTTATGTAAATTACAATTAGAGGAACCTAAAGTTAAATAGAAAGTAGAATACTTGTCTGATTAAATATTTCAATCATAATTAAATATAAAAATTGAATATAATGAATTTTAAGGATTAAAGTGGAATGTAATAATATTGTGATACAATAATTGGCCATTTTAGACATCATAGCAATGTAGATTTAAATTAGAACAATTCTAATATTAATTCATTTCTTAGTTTGCAATCTCCAAGTCATAGAAAAATGTCAGAATGTAACGGATTAGAGAAAAAAATATTAAGTTCAAGAAGTTAGATTCATAGAATGATGGAGAATTTCTCACGAAATTATGATTTAATATAATAATCAGATCCTCTAGAACATATTACAGAGTTCACTCCTTAATTATCACCAATAGGTAATGTAAATGAAGTAAAGAGACAGATTGATATTAAACATGATGGTTCTTTAACTTTATAAGAATTAAAATCAAATTAAACTAGCATCATATAGATAACTAGATTTAGATTTAATTATTTTTATGTGAGAATTTATGATAGAGAAAGTCCATTGCAAGCTTATGTTAGAAGTGAAAATTCTAAATTATAAACTTTCAAAATGTATATATCTACTATTGCACAATTTCCTACAAGTTTTAATTGCGAATAAGCTATTTAATCCAAATATTTTAAATTTGCTGATTAATAATAAAGAGATGCTTTTCATGTAAAAAATTTATACATTTCTATGTATTCAGAAGAAGATTGTCTTATAGCAATTAATTTCATTTTTGGTCATTATTTTAAAAAGAAAATTAGAATGATAAAAGATGAATTCGATTAAGAAAAATATAAATAAAGTAATCATTTTATATATTTATAGAATTGTATTCATTAAATACTCCTAGATTAGATTCCATTCAGATGGATAAAGTTGCTAATAATTTAAATACTAAACAATATTAAAAAGAATGTAAGATTATATTTTAACTAAAGAAATTCAGCAAAAGATTATAATAAATTAAAAATTATTAAAATAAAGAATATTACAAGCAATTGAACGAAAAAAAGTTATTTATGAAGACAAGAGATTAGATATTATTAGNTATATAAACAAGTAGGCAAATTGATAAAATTTAGTTTATAAGTTGTGTATAAAGAGTTAGGAATCTATTTTACAATGATTAAATAAATAAAAAAGAAAGATTTATGTAAATTACAATTAGAGGAACCTAAAGTTAAATAGAAAGTAGAATACTTGTCTGATTAAATATTTCAATCATAATTAAATATAAAAATTGAATATAATGAATTTTAAGGATTAAAGTGGAATGTAATAATATTGTGATACAATAATTGGCCATTTTAGACATCATAGCAATGTAGATTTAAATTAGAACAATTCTAATATTAATTCATTTCTTAGTTTGCAATCTCCAAGTCATAGAAAAATGTCAGAATGTAACGGATTAGAGAAAAAAATATTAAGTTCAAGAAGTTAGATTCATAGAATGATGGAGAATTTCTCACGAAATTATGATTTAATATAATAATCAGATCCTCTAGAACATATTACAGAGTTCACTCCTTAATTATCACCAATAGGTAATGTAAATGAAGTAAAGAGACAGATTGATATTAAACATGATGGTTCTTTAACTTTATAAGAATTAAAATCAAATTAAACTAGCATCATATAGATAACTAGATTTAGATTTAATTATTTTTATGTGAGAATTTATGATAGAGAAAGTCCATTGCAAGCTTATGTTAGAAGTGAAAATTCTAAATTATAAACTTTCAAAATGTATATATCTACTATTGCACAATTTCCTACAAGTTTTAATTGCGAATAAGCTATTTAATCCAAATATTTTAAATTTGCTGATTAATAATAAAGAGATGCTTTTCATGTAAAAAATTTATACATTTCTATGTATTCAGAAGAAGATTGTCTTATAGCAATTAATTTCATTTTTGGTCATTATTTTAAAAAGAAAATTAGAATGATAAAAGATGAATTCGATTAAGAAAAATATAAATAAAGTAATCATTTTATATATTTATAGAATTGTATTCATTAAATACTCCTAGATTAGATTCCATTCAGATGGATAAAGTTGCTAATAATTTAAATACTAAACAATATTAAAAAGAATGTAAGATTATATTTTAACTAAAGAAATTCAGCAAAAGATTATAATAAATTAAAAATTATTAAAATAAAGAATATTACAAGCAATTGAACGAAAAAAAGTTATTTATGAAGACAAGAGATTAGATATTATTAGTAAATTAAAAGCTAATGAATCTTTAAAAGAAATAAGAAATATTTAAAAATAAATTGAACTTTAATAAAAATTTAAAATACGAAATTAGATTGTTTGGATTGAACTTCTATTAATTGCTTAATATGCAGCAAAAATAAAAGAAATGTTAGATGTATTTATTTAATATCTAAATTTAGCAAATGAAATTGCATAATAAATATTTAGCAAAAGGAAGATTAATAGTTTGGTAATATAAAACTATAACAATGATAAAAATTAAAGGAATGGGTGCTACAGTGGAAGAAAGAAGCAGATGTAAAATGTGTTTATCAATTATGATTTTTACAAAACAACTAAAATAATTTTCAAAAGTAAGAGCCATTAAAGTAGTCTTATAATTCTTACATGCTACTCATCTATATATTTAATGTTTATAAAAACATCGATATTTTGTTGAAAAAGTAAATTATGTAAAAAAGGTGTTTAAAAATTTAAAATAGAAACATAAAGCTTATAGAGATAGATTATGGAGACTTTTGAATAAGAACGGGTAGACTATTATTCTTGAATTGATAAATAAACATAGTCAAATAAAGAAAAGATAATATCATATTGATAAGTATTCAATAATTTAATAATTTTGATAGTATTCTACTATTAAAGATTATGGATGATTTTATTTAAGGAAAGAAATAAAAATGTTAATAATATGCTCAAAATTATATAAAAGAAAAAAACAAAAAGAAAAAAGTGGTTGATTTTACTTTAAGTATGATGTAACCAGAAATGTTTAATGCTCCTACTTATGAAGATCTAGTAGAGATATATAAAATATATGCAATTGAAAAAAATATTGCAATTAATGATACACATAATTGAAATTAATGATTTTAGACCTTCTCATTAGAAAGTATATAAAATATTTATGTATAAATATTAAATTAATAAAATTATGAATGGCTATTAAGTTTAAGAAAGTAAAAGAAATCAAATTGACTATATTTGGAATAATGTATGTAATATTTCAATGTTTTTATTGTTATTTTCTCATGGCTCTATAGAGGTTTTAAACAAGTTCAATCTTTCTTTTTCCTCTTCTATTTGTACCCAATCTCTTAGCTGCTAATTTTCCTGCCTTCTTTAAATCTTTTGGTTGATTTGTTTTAAACAATTCAATAATTCTTTTTTCATATGGGCTCAAACCAGCTACTTCTTAGATAATCTTTCTCACTTGTAAGACTCTCTTACCCAAAGTTCCTTTTCTTTAAGAAGGTCTTCTTCTTAATTATTTCTTTGTCAATGAAGATGTTATGAATCCTCTATTTAAACCAACTGCAATTCCTGTTCTGCCCATTATTTTAAAAATGATATTTTTATTTTTTAAATATTAATCACACAATAACTTCATTATTTTGTTAACAAATTCTTTGAATTATGAATTAGTTTATAATGATCTACTCTTAAATTGATATATTCGTATAATTGTTCATTCTAAATAGCTCATATTATTTGATTTATTAAATTTTAATATAATTAGTTTAAATTCTGTTATAAATCAGTGTTCATCACTATTTTAATCAAAATGCACAAAATAAGCAGATATTGATGTATTATTCTAAGGCAAGTGTACATCAAGTGCAAATTCAAAATCAAAGATTCCAATACATTCTTAATCACTTTCTATCAAATCTTTTGTTGCTTAACTAACCATAATTTTGCCTTCTTATCCTTTTGATTCCATTTTATTAGCAATAGTAACATCTTCACCATAAATATCATATCTAACTACATCTGTTCCTACAACTCCACCAATAACTCTTCCTGTATGAGCACCTATTCTCATATTTAAATGTTGATATTAAGGATCTTTATTAATTTGTTATATTATTTAAATCATTTTTAATCCAAATAACACAACATTTATAGCCTATCAATAATTATTCAAAATAATTACTTCGCCAACTGGATCTCTATTATTAGCATCAATAATTCCCATACAAACATAACAGTCACCAATTGTATATAATTTATATACTTGAAATCTTTAACATTCTTCATCAAATTACTAAAATAATATTCTCAACATATTAACAACTTATTCTGGTTCTACTGAACCTGAATATTTTGTAAATCCTGCTATATCAGCAAATAAGATTGTACAATTTTCAAATACATCAATAAAATTATCTGAAGTATTTGCATCAGTCGAAAAAAATCTACCTATAATGTGTTAAGGTAATAAATATTATAATATCTAAGTTTACTTAGCATTTTTTGATTCAAATTAAGAATAGCATTGATAATTTTCTACTAAAACAGATAATTCTTTATGCTATATCATTATACTTTATAAAAAAACACTTATTGAAAAAAGTATTATTTCTAAAATATATTCATTATATAATAAGTTTATTAGTATTAATAATATGTATAAAATTGATAATTTTATTCGATCTTACTAATTATAAATTTACAAATAAAAAAAGTTTTAAAATACTGATGTAATTTGACTTATTTAAAATATTAATTCCATATCACTATAATGTGCATCTATTATCAAAATATTAATAATGGAAAATATTAAAAAATAAAATCCTATCATCCATTTTAATATTATATTCTAATTAATATAGTTGATTGCAATTGCCAACAATAAACAAATAATTGATTAGCAAATAAAGAGTATTTACAATTAGATTTATATATTCTTCAATAAGTAATATAAGACATTCTTAATTACTAAAACAATAACAAGGAATATTAAAAATATCTTTATCTATTTCCTTTCTTAATCTCTATATTAATCATAGATAGTAAAATATAAATGATGATTTTCACTTTAATAATCAGATTCTTAAATACCAAATTTTTCAATTTCTACTTTATCTTCCATATTTTTAATATCAAAATGATTTTAATAAAAACTTTGTTCAATTTTAATAAGTTTTCTAATTTCTAATTCATCCATATTTTATATATTTCTTTATTCTCTAGGAGATCTATTTGCAGATTGAGAATCATGTTTATCAATAAAATCAATTTTATTATCAGCAATAATTCTAGTTCTTTTTCTTTTAATAATATCAAGTTTAACACTTTCAGTCATTTTTTAACCTCCAATAGGCATATTTAATATTGGATCTTCTCCTATATTTGTTTTCGTTCCTGCTCTCTTATAAATAGATTTTCTTGATTTGATCGGATTTAATTCCATTGCAAGATTAGAAACTCTTTTACTATATGCTCCTTATGTACCATAACCTCCTAAAGGAATACTTTATTTTAATCCTTCTCCTTAAATATTATTAATATTTGTTTATTCTATTTTAGTTTTATCTCTATCATCTTTTTAAGTAATATTAATAGTATTATTTATTATATTATTATTATTTATAATATTAATTTCTTATTCTTATTCTTATTCATTATTAACATTAATTCCTATTTAATATGATGAATTAAATATAGATCTTGAACTTGCCCTTATTAATGGTTAAATTCCTAATGGACCTAAATTTGTTGTTAATTTACCATTAGCAATTGTATTTTGAATTGTTAATGGATTTCCAAAATCTTATCTATCCTCACTAAAAGAGACTTTTTTTAATATTGTTACTTTTTTATGTTAAAGATTTTATTAGATTTTTTTAAATATTTAATTAGGAGTATGTGAATTTGGAGATTTAGCAATATCATCAGCCATTTTAATAGTTGTTTATTATTTTTTTTTACTAGTTTTAATAAGTTAATATGTATTAATAGTTCCTTTACCCTTTGCTTCAACTTCTTTTAATTTAAACTGATTTTTTTAATTATTTACTTTTTCATAAGCTTATTAACTAAGAGTTATTATTCCAGGTTATGAAGTAGAACAGACACGACTGGTAGTATTAACAGTATCTCCTATAAGTGAAAATTGAGGTTTATGTGCACCAATTACACCAGCTATAACTCTACCATAATGAATTCCAATTTTTAAAACAACTGCTTTATTATCTCCATATTTCATAGTTTTTACACTCTCCAACATTTACATAGCTGTATCTAAAATTCTTTCAGTTGGATTAAGATTATCAGATATATTATAATCTTTTAATCCTCCAGCAGCCATATATGTTTTACCAACTGTTTCTATCTTTTATAATTCATTTGCTTAACAAAATTAATCAAATTAACGATATAAATTATCCAAGAAATCCACCACTCTTATTTATTCATTCTTTATTATATCATCAAATTCATAAATATCACAAAATAATATTGCAACATCACCCTAATCTTCTGAAATCTATATCTATCCTTTAGACATCCTTTCTTTTATAAATCTAGGCATTAATAATCCTAAAGCATCATTTAATTTCTTATATTCATCTAATAACTTATTTTATAAAATATATTAATATCTTTATAAAAATTCAGTCTTGTAAATTTAAACTATAAGAGGAACACACATTTCTATCATTATTAATCCATGATTTAATATATGATAAGGATTTCCATTATTAAATATACCTACCATTACTATATCTAATAATATTGATATTATACAAACACAATAATAACCATAAAGACCCAATAATGGATGATGACTTATTGAAAACCCTATCAAAAACATTTGAATTTCAATTAATTATGTATCCATTAAACTACGTAAAATTATAAAGAATATAAATCTCAAACTCAATAAAAAGATTGGTTGATGTTTTGATACTTTTATTAATGGAATCATTGTCATAGATACAAATTATATTATACTAATTACTAAATAAGCTATATTAAGATTGTTTATTTATTAATATACTCTTATACCAAATATTGATATCTCGTATATTAAAAATATATAGTAATTTTATGGTTTTATTGAATTCTAAAAATCCTTTTCTGTTCTTTTGTCTGTAAATTTTAAATCTTTCTCCATTTAATCAGTCATTTATTAATCTCCTTTAATCTTTTTTACTAACAATTCATCCATAAAATCTTTCCCTTAAAATAACTTCTCTATAAATTTCTTTGGTTAATTCTTATAAGCAACTCTAGCATTTAAATATTTCAATTATGAATTAATCTTTTCTATCTTTATTTAATGTTAAGAATGAAAATTTATATCATAAGGACATGGTAAATTAAATTCAGTCAATATTAATATTTCTTAAAATACAAAAGATATTACTATTGAAAATATCAATCCAAAAATCCAGTATGTAAAATTTTAATTTTAAAATTAATATAAAATATCTATTGTTATCAATGCATATACCAATAATGATAGAAATATCAATATAATAAATGAAAATATCAATTTTAGCATTTTTGCATTCTCATAAAATGAATTAAAATATGATATAAGATATTTTTATTTCTCAACCAATTCTAGTATTAAATAAATAAAAACTGAATAATGATTTAGCTCCTATGTTTCAGATATATTAAATATATTAAAACATATTTCAACTAAAATTGCATCAATTAATGCTACAAATATTATCTTAATTATTTTTATGTAAATATTTTATTATTTAATTAATTCTAATCTTTTCCTATATATTTCAAAATTATTATTATCAAATTTTCTTTAAGTTATAAAGGTTTCATAGTTCAATAAGCAAGTCACTATATTGCTTGGGATCAAGTAAAATAAAATTAATTCATCTAAAGTATTAAAGTTATTTTGATAATCAATTATATAAGAAGTAAATCCAAAAAGAAAACTTCGGTATATTTAAATTAAAATAATAGATTCATAATTTAAATAAGTTTTTGGACAATAATAAAAAAGTAATTTAAACAATTAATCAACTTTTTAAATCAAAAAATTTGGATTAGATAAAGTACATTAAGGATCTTATTAAACAACATTAAATGAATAATTAGATTTGTAAAAGAAATATTAATTATCTAATCCTGGTCCAATTGATGTTATATATCTTTCAGTTATTTATAATAGTTTTAAGAACTTGCCCTTTTGTTTTTCATCCAATTTATATGCTCCGACTCCTTATGAGAAATAGAAAAGAACAACAAAGTGATATTTTAGATAATCATCTTTAACAATTGCTTCTAGAGTTTAATCATTTATAATTAAAAAGTTATCAACTATTTTTTGTTCATAAACTTCAAAAATATTTTATTTTTCAATCATATTTTAAATAAATTATCTAAATTTAAATTAAATAGTATTAGGTTCTATAAAATGTTCTATTGATTTTTTTTCTGTAATATGATAAGTTCGCAAAAATTAAATCAAATCTTCATAAGTATCCATTAAAAAGCACTATTTGTAATTATACCTTTATAAAGTCTAGAACAATTTATCAGGTTTTAAATTATTATTAGTGATTTCTTATGATACTAATTAATTTTTAAAAGGTATGAATTATTTGAGACCAATAATAAATAATAATTCACTTTCATTTTCAATTTATTAATACAATGAATCTAATTATTATTCTTAATTTCCATATGTTTCATTAATTGAATTAAGTTTAGTTAAAAATGATTCAGTTTATTAAGCATTTAATTATTTTTTATAATATTAAATCGATTTCTGTCCATCCCAAAACATTTCATCAATAATATCAATAGAATTACTCTAATTTCTAGAAGTAGAATGATTTGCTACAATTCTAGTATATAATAACACACCTTCTTCTAATTCAAATGATTCTGGATCTTTAACTAATATTGTAAGTGTATCAGATCTATTATCAGTTGGATGCAAAATAGCTATTATATCAAAAACTTTAATAACTCCTTAAATAGATATAGCTTTTTTAGTAATCTAATTTTGCTTATATTCAATTTTATAATTATCTATTATGGCACTAGAAATAAATTTATAATCAAAAATATTTACAAAATCTAAGATAGATTTATCAAATGTATTTTTATATATATTTTCTATTTTCTTCTCTTCTTTATCATAAACACTTTCTATATCATTACATAATAATAACATTATTAATATTTCGTTTGATATCACATCTTATTTATTTAATAATTTATTTATAAAATCCTGTTCACTATAAATATCACCAATAATTTAATCACTACTCTAATCTTATTAGGTAGGAGTAATATTCTTAAGAGATCCAGTAACAGATTTTGGATTATTTAATACATTAGTCTATGATAAGTGGCTATTACTTTTCTATCTTTATATTTTTGGAGAATTTTGATAAGAAATAAAACTACCATTATTTACTGGTGCTTATTAATGTTCTTTTTATTATAATGATCCTAACATATTTGATTAAAACAAATTTCTAACACTTTATTTTCTAAAAGAACTGTAAGGATTTAATTTTTAATCAACTCCTGATTTTTTTAATTCTTTTGAGTCTCTCCTTTCTTTTTCAATTTGAATAGCTTTTGATTATTCTCTTAAAAAACCCATTTTTTAAAAAGACTTTTTTTCTTCAATTACTCTTAATGTTGGTTATTATTTTTCTGCTAATAATAAATCTATATCTTAAGTTTTTTATTCATCATAAGCAGAAAATCTATTTGTGTCAAGTAACAACTTTTCATAATTAATTTTTTATCTTGGCGTTGTTTTTTCAATAATCGCTTATAATTTCTCATAATTGAAGTAATATTTACATTTATCATGAAAAAGCATACAAATTCTAACATCTTTCTTCATAAGTTTCTAAGGATTTTCAAAGACAACAACGTCAGTTTTAATAAATTCTAGTATAGTTTAATTACTTAATTAATGAAATAAATAAATTAAATCTTGATTTGGGTTTTTTTTTATTTGTGGAAGACTTACAATAGATGTATTGGCTGATACAATCTTTTATATTTAAATTAGCACTTTCTTTTCATATTCTTATAGAATTGGATCAGATTTATTTTATCCTTATTTTTGAATATCTTTATTAAGTAGTTTCAATTACTTATTTTCATAAGTTTTTGTTTATAATATATGGCTTAAAAACCATACTTAATTGATAAGAAAATAGTTTTAAGGAAAAAGCAATATACAAATTATAATAGAATTGGTGTATGAGGAATATTCTAAATTAGATACATAGATTAATTTTGGGACAATAAGGATTATGAATATCAAAAAAGTTAATAGAAATATAAAGAAACTATTTTAATTATAATGATTCCAATTATAAAATCTATCTCTTTATTGAAAACAACTATGACCTACTTGAATAGCTATACCAAATATCCAATCTGTTTAGTTTAATATTTATCCTCTATAAATTATATTTTCATCAGTAAACTGAGTAGCTTTAGGATCATTTTTTAATTTTATTGTACCTTTATGAGATGTTGAAAATTGAATCCAGCCACTTAAATTTATTAAAAATTTTGTCATAATACCTTTAGTTTTTGAAGCCTGATTAACATAAGTACATGGACAAGGAAATTTTATTACATAATCAGCTTAAACTTATTATTAACTTGATTCTAAAATTAAAATATTTGCAGGACTCATTTCCCCTTGTTATAAACATACAATTTATCCAACTTTCAATTTTTCCCATTCAATTTTTTATGAAGATTATTTGTTTTAAGTTTATAAAAGTTGATCTATTGAACATAAAATTCGACATTCTTATTTATTTATTGTTTCCTCAAATTTCCATCTCTCTTTTAAAACATAAAATAACAAAAAAAACGAAATCATTAAATCGAGAATTAAACAAATCATTGTATATGAAATGATGTACAATTCCGATTTCAACAAATCAGGTATAGTAATTAAATAAATTAAAGGATATATTGGAAGAATTTCTAATTTGAGTAAAATACGAATCGATTCCTTAATTACTGTAGATGTCTAGTTAAAAACAAATAATACTTATATTAAATGAATTCTATTTGTTAGGACTTCATAATTAAAAGTTTTTTAAACAATTCCATTTGTAATTTCAATCTAAATAATGTAAATTGGATACTCTCATATTTTAAAGATTTTCTAATTCCAAATCCTTTAATCGTTACTAATACTTCAAAGGAATTTGTTTGTAAATCTTTTCAATAATTCGATATAACATTAATTAACTTTAAATATAAAATTATCACAATTCAAGCTTAATTTTTTGTATAATCCAATTAACAGAAAAAGTAGTATTTTTTCAGTATGATTAAAAATGTGAATAGAATAAAGAATATTATTAGAGATAATTATAGAAAAAGAGTAAATATTCGCAAAATAGTAAATTAGGAATTTGTGATTAATAAATAAAATGTTTTTTACATAAAAATTGTTAATTAAATTATAATGAGATTGGCAAGATTCGGAATACCAACTATTTTAAAACGATTACCTTTTACTCAATTATAGAAATCTCGTCCATAAATACTAAAATCAGTTGCAATAGGAGCGTTATTCACAGGTCTTACATGGAAATAAGCTTTGAAATTAGATGAATTCTAAAGCACTGTTGTTTCAGATGTTAATGAATTCTGTTGTGTATTGGTTTTAGAATTGAGTGAAGGAGATACCAATTTATAACATGAAGCATTAAATGCACTAAAAGAAATCCCAAAACTTGTTTAAAAGAAGACTAATGAGGATGGTATAAATTAATAATATAATTTAGATGAACTGGATCCAGTAACAGTAGGAGTTGGATTCTAAACAAAGTTTTGGGAAAAATTAACTAGAACACCATAGAATGATTATGAAGCTCGTGCTGGTGCATATGGATCTATGCCATATGGTAAAGGAAATGTAATAGTACATGTAAAAGCATAAAATAGATCATTGGCATTTGAAACTATTTAAGTATTTGAATTATGTTTCTATATTTTAGAAAGTAGTAAAAAGTTTACCAAAAGGATCATATCGGGTGGTATCAGAAAGATATGGATATAAATATTTGGACGGAAGAGATATGAGTGGATTTTTAGATGGGACTATGAATCCAAATCTTAAATAACAAAGATAAAAAGTAGCTGTAAATGAAAGAGGAGGCAGCTATATGATCCATTAAATATGGCATCATAAATTAGATTGGTTAGATAAAGTTACAGAAGATGAATAAGAAAAAATGGTTGGAAGAAAGAAATCAAATTCATTTGAATTAAGACCATTACCAATTGATAGTCATGTTAGTAGAACTAGAAGTGAAGATAATAAGAGGTTATTAATTGTTAGATAATCTCAACCTTTTGGAACAGTTACTGGTGATCATGGTTTACTCTTCATTGCTTATGCCAAAGATTTAAACAACTTTAATACAATGTTAGATAGAATGACCGGAAAAGGAGATGGAATTAATGATCAAATAATGAAGATGTCTATGTAATTATTCTTATTTATTAATATAGTAATTCTTATGGCAATTATTTCTATTTACCAAGTGTACAAGAACTACAGAAATTATGAGATAATTTATATATTTAACACAATATGATTATCCAGTTATATAGATACTCATCAAAATATTTTCAAACTTTATTATTGCTCTTTATTAATTTTGAATTAGGATTTTATTTTTTAAGATATGTACACATTAGTCTTTAAGTTAAAGGTTACTTTTAATTATATTTTTCACTTCTAACTAATAAGATTCTTGGTGTTTTTTATTCAAAAATACTTAAATTATTTGTTTTAACACCTTCTAAATTACTTAGATTTGGTATATTCAATATAGATTTTTTTTTATTATTCTAAGCAAAATAATAATTAGAAGCTTCAGTTTTTATTCTAAATTAACCACAATTTGGGGTTGAGTATTTATGTAATTTATTTACTACTTCTTTTTTACTTTTATTATCTATTTCTTAAACTTATTTTAATTTATCAATATCTTAATCTTTACTGGTCATCATTTTTTATTATACTTTATTAAATAGACTATGAGTTGAAATGCTTGTTTTAGTTTTATTGTCCTTTTCAATTCTATGTGTTGTACTTATTTTTTTCATCAAATTTTATGCTTAAATCAATTGTATTACTGGTAGAATGGATACACGATTACTTTTTTAAATGGACTATTTAGAATGCTTTTCACATAAAAATTAATTAAAATCATACTAAAATGAGCAGAAGATCCAATTAAACTTAAATCTCTATTTGATGGTCTCATATTTTATGGTTAAATAGATAATTAAGGTGAAGCTGGAAATCTAGTTTTAGTATTAGATTGAGGTGAGTCAAGTAATTCTTTTTTGCAAATTAAAATTTTTTTCTTCACTTTGCCACCACAATCTAAACATTCACAACTAGAAATTAATTGCTAATTATCAAATTGATTTATTATTTGAAATGGNGTAGAACTAGAAGTGAAGATAATAAGAGGTTATTAATTGTTAGATAATCTCAACCTTTTGGAACAGTTACTGGTGATCATGGTTTACTCTTCATTGCTTATGCCAAAGATTTAAACAACTTTAATACAATGTTAGATAGAATGACCGGAAAAGGAGATGGAATTAATGATCAAATAATGAAGATGTCTATGTAATTATTCTTATTTATTAATATAGTAATTCTTATGGCAATTATTTCTATTTACCAAGTGTACAAGAACTACAGAAATTATGAGATAATTTATATATTTAACACAATATGATTATCCAGTTATATAGATACTCATCAAAATATTTTCAAACTTTATTATTGCTCTTTATTAATTTTGAATTAGGATTTTATTTTTTAAGATATGTACACATTAGTCTTTAAGTTAAAGGTTACTTTTAATTATATTTTTCACTTCTAACTAATAAGATTCTTGGTGTTTTTTATTCAAAAATACTTAAATTATTTGTTTTAACACCTTCTAAATTACTTAGATTTGGTATATTCAATATAGATTTTTTTTTATTATTCTAAGCAAAATAATAATTAGAAGCTTCAGTTTTTATTCTAAATTAACCACAATTTGGGGTTGAGTATTTATGTAATTTATTTACTACTTCTTTTTTACTTTTATTATCTATTTCTTAAACTTATTTTAATTTATCAATATCTTAATCTTTACTGGTCATCATTTTTTATTATACTTTATTAAATAGACTATGAGTTGAAATGCTTGTTTTAGTTTTATTGTCCTTTTCAATTCTATGTGTTGTACTTATTTTTTTCATCAAATTTTATGCTTAAATCAATTGTATTACTGGTAGAATGGATACACGATTACTTTTTTAAATGGACTATTTAGAATGCTTTTCACATAAAAATTAATTAAAATCATACTAAAATGAGCAGAAGATCCAATTAAACTTAAATCTCTATTTGATGGTCTCATATTTTATGGTTAAATAGATAATTAAGGTGAAGCTGGAAATCTAGTTTTAGTATTAGATTGAGGTGAGTCAAGTAATTCTTTTTTGCAAATTAAAATTTTTTTCTTCACTTTGCCACCACAATCTAAACATTCACAACTAGAAATTAATTGCTAATTATCAAATTGATTTATTATTTGAAATGGAATTGCAAAATTTTTAAATAGACTTTTACATCCTAATAGTTTCTAATAGATTACTTTTTGTAAAACATTTATCAAATCCAAAGATTTTGTAATTATGTTAGTCATCTTAAATAGATATTCTTTTATGAAATATTTAATGAAACGTTTTCTGTAAATCTGATTCTGGTTAAATTTCAAATAAATCCATAAATTTATATCTATTATTATTAATATATTAATTAAAAATGTTAAAAGACATAAGTTAGAGTTTATGTAAAAATAAAAGAGTTTCGACAATAATAAATATTTTTGTATAATTATGAATGTATATTTTGATATCACCATTCTGGTTTAGGTCTTTATTTCTTTGCAATTTCTCCTCTTGCCAAATCTGGGAAGTTCTCTTCACATGACAATGGAACATCTTTGAAATAGTAATTACCATAAGTATTATTTTATCTTTCTCTCTCATATGACCATTATCTCTCTCCAAGTAAACAATGTTTATAAAATTTAACTGCAGTCATTTTTGTTACTTACCACCAAAGATAAGATGCTCCCAATAAGTATAATCCATATCCTGCTAAACCAACATATCCAAAACTAATGATAGTGATCATCATATCACATACTTATAAAAGAATGAAGTTTATCTTATACTAGTTATACCTCTTTAACCAATTGGTAAAAACATTTATCTCTAAGTTAAGGCAGCTTTTTATAATCACATCCTATATATACCTTATAAAAAGAATCCAGTAGTGCATATCCAAACTGGGAAGATTCTCACAAAATTAAAGCATTTCAAATCTCTCTCAACAAAATCTTGAATATTTCTTGATACATGAATTCTTAATAACATTAATATCAAATATTTACCTCTATAATTTATTTACAAAATATGTTCTTGGATCTATTTATTTACCCTCTTATGCATTTTCTTACATTATTTCTATATATCTTTTATATGCAGGATTATCTCCATGTTAATAAAATAACAATGGATCATATAATTTTTGAATTTCTTCCTTCAGATTTTTGGCATCTGTCTTTGACATTTTAATTATTTATTTATATAATTATGATTTGATAAAATCATCATTTTCTAATAATATTTAATGGAAAGTTTAATGTCACTTTAAATCCATCATATAATATCATAACTAAGTTCACTTCAAAATCAACTAAATAATATTAATATTTCATACCACTAAATTCTCTAAATTGAAAATTTGGACATGAAAAATATTTTGGAAATATCATATGAAAAGGTAATTCTAATCCTCTTGTAGCATTCCCTTCTACAATTTATATCAACTAAATCTCTGTTGCTTCACTAATTTTTCCTAAATTATTTTCTAATTTCTCTACTCTTATAAACTATATATCTATTGTTCTTATTTCAGAATCACATTCTTAAATAATTATGTATCCATGAAAATCTTCTTAAAATAAACAAATTGTTGTGTCAATCTATCCATTAATTCTAAATTTGGCACTCTATGTTTTATTCATTGTGCTTGAATTTCCTAATAATTTATCTGGAGTTATCAAAAAATGTTCAACTCTAGGATATTTTTCTGTCTGCTTAATTCTGTCATTTCCTTATCCTGGTACATAAACAAAATAAGGAATTATTGAGGTAACTTTTAATCCATTAGCTAATGTTAATTCTGCTTCTATTGAATATTATATTGCAATATAAACACCAACATAAGTTTCCAAAATTTTCCTATCTTAATATGGAGTTAATTGGTATTTAAATGGAAAACTATTCTTCTCTTATAATCTAAATTCTATAAATTATTATTATTCTACATATAATTATCTGTAGTCAATTTTCCATCTAGTTAATGTAGTAAAACAGGATGAAGCTAACTTGACATCCTCTCTAAATCTTTGTGCGTTTCTTTATTTTATGATATTATTGTCCCTTCAGATTTCCATATAAATTATTTTATTTCAAGTCTTTTCTATTATAGATCTGTAAATATAAGAGAAACTTATCCAGAAACAAAATCCTATTTCAAATATATTTCATACTCCTGGCTTAAAAGTATTATTCGCCTTATCAAATTTAATTTACAAATTATATTCGCTTTTCATATTTAGGTATTTATTAAAATAATAGTATAAATATGCACATTTTAATCATAGTTTCTTTTGTAAAAAAAGAAATATAACCTTAAATAAAATCAATTAATTTGTTCATAATTTTAATTCAATCAATTTAATCATCACTATAATAAAAATAATTAGATGCAAATTGTAATTATTACTAAATGCTTTATATTTTATATTAAAATGGTCTATAATTACAGTATTTGTTCTTAAAAAGTACATATGTCAGAGAAAATACACTAAATTTCAGCATCTATCTTTTCAGACAGGGATAACTATTAATCATCATGATAGCTTTATTATAGGAATAATATAAATATATGAAAAAAATGAAGTATTTTATAATTATGGTTTAATATTATTTTTATTTATTAAATGTTTTCTAATTAAAGCGAGTATGATCTACGAGTGTTTTTATCCTCCTATTAAGATGCTCTACATTGTTTAAAATAATCAGCTGATAAATCAACATTAAGAAAAAATTATGAAAATATTGCCAATCGACTTACAATTTATGTGAAATAAAAGAAAGTATATTGTTGACAATAAGGTAGATGTTTGGAGAAGCTATTTTATCTAAAAATGAAGAGAGAGACATCTTAGCATTTTAATATACACAGTAAAATATTAAAAAATCTATAAAAATAGTTATATATTTTTAAAATATTTACCAGATTTCGACAATTTTAAAGGAAATTATGATTAGTTGAAGACAATCCTCAATAATTCATTTAATTCTCTATCTTCAGATTATTAGCTGTATTCATAATAATCTTAGTAATGACAAGCATAATGATTTGAATATAAGTATATATGTGGCAAAAATCATATTATAATAAGATCATTGTCTTCGTCTCTTTAACCAGAATTATAATTAAGATATTACGAATTTTAAGGGTTTTTCTTTTTAAAGCATTTAGATTTCAATTATTGAACCCAATTTCCAACTATTTTGTGAGGTGGTACAATAACTTTATCGGTTTTAATAAATGATGATATTTTTTTGGTCACATTAAACATAAATTAATTAGATTCTTTCATTGAAGAGACAAAATTTAAACCTAAAGTTATTTCCTATTTTGATTAAATTTATGTTATGGTTCTTCATAATAATAGAAAAAACTGAATTACTTTTTTGTAAATTGATAAAGAGTCTTGAGACTATTGATGGTAGTTTTGGTTAAAGATAAATTAGATAATTATTATTATAATTAGTTTTTTGGACTTTACTAAAAATTAATAGTTTTAACTCTATCATATAATGTAACACTCTAATTTTGACGTGGATCCTCGTCATGAAATAATTATTAATATTCTTGTAGGTCTGGTTGAGATTATGAAGTAGTACAAGGGGTTTTATTAACAATGAACATTATTATTTATTAATATTTATTAATATTTAATAATGTAACAATAATTATTAAAGCCTTAATCTAAAGAACATGCCCTTTAAATATTACAATAGGGATTTCAAATGTATTAATAATAAGGACATGTGAGTTTTAATGAAAATTCTGCTTTATCACAATAACAAGAAAGGATGAGTTTCAACGAATAGAAGATAAAATCTCATCCTAAAGTTCACAATGTTTTTGATAATCAGAAGAGAATTAAAAATAATTAACATTTAATTGAGTAAAGTCTAGTTGGAAATAGATTTGAAATTCCTATTTTACCTTCAGGAAAACATCTGAAATTTAATGTTCTTTCAAATTGGGGAGATAAATAACAAGTTGGTTTAAATGGAATAGAAGTATTTGATTCATAAGGAGGCAATATTACAAGATATATTAAAATGCCTATGTAAGATGAATATATAGAGAAATTGAAGTTGATTGACGGTTATTAGGCAGTTAAAGATGATAAACATATTTGGAAAACTAAGAATTTAAAACCAGAAATCGTCATAGATTTAACTGCAAATATCAAAATATCATTGATAAGAATATGGAATTATAATAAATCTAGGATTAGATCTTATAAAGGTGTGAGATTATTAAAAATAACTCTAGATGAAAGATTAGTAAACTATTTATGTAATATTTTAGTTAGATATTTTATGGAGATATTTAGAAAGCAACAGGAGATCTAAAAAAGTTTTAAGATAATTGTGAATATATTTTATTTACATAAGATTCAAAAATTATTAGTAGAATTGCTGAATTAGATTGGTTAAATAAAAGAGCTGAAGATTATTCTATTTAAATTTTATAATAGACTATGAGTATCTAATAAATTAGACCGAATACAGGTACTAAGTTGTAGTCATAAAATTAAAAATAATATAGTGATTAGTCTCCTTCATCAAAATTATATTCATCTAAAATTTATTAATAAAAAAATAATGGATAAGAGTAACCTATGTAAATTTAAAGACAATAATAATATCAATAATAATAATACTAATAATATTAGGTATAAAAATAAGAAAAAATAGCAACGCAATAATATCCTGAATATATTTCTGTTTCTGATATATTGTTAGAATTTAATAATGGGTCAAAAAGATTTTTAGGATTGAATGGAATGGTTTTGATTGATTGCAAAAATTAACAAATTCTTTAAGATGATATTTTAGATTCTAATTTAATTGATTATGATTTGTAAAGACTATTTTATTCTAATAATCCAACTTAAGTAGATTCATCAAATATGGTTTGGTTAAAATAAAAGAAAATCTTTATAAAATTCAAATAATAAACAAAGTTATCTATGATTAAGTTTTATAATTGTAATTAAATTGTAAGTGAATCAACATTTACTGGACCAGAAATAGTAAAGATTACTTATAATGGAAAATCCAAAATATATAGTATTAATTAGTTATAATTTTAGATTTGAGACCTGCTCCATGTGAAGATATTAATTTTGTTTAAACAATAAATTTATCATAGCCAAACAATAATTCTTATTCTGGGAATTTGATGGTTAATTATGAATAATTTAATTAAAATTATATTATTGCTTATCCTCCTTGTGGGATGCTTGTAACAATTTATTTGGTTAATACATGGGGAGATAACAATTATATAGGTTTAAATGGAATAGAAATTTATGACAATTAAGGATAAGCATTATTATAAAGAAAGATTATAGGTTATACTATTCATTCAGTTCCATAAGTAATTAATTAATAATATAATTTTAGTTAGATGATGATCCAAGAGTTGTTTAGAATTTAGTAATTCCTCCTTATGATATTAATTGTCAACCATAAAAAAGTTTTTTAGCTCCATTTATCAACACACCAATGGAAAAATTAAAAAATAAGAATGCAATAATAATATAAAAGGCAAGAGATTTAGAAAGATAAGAAATAAATAAGATTTATGTATTATTTGACAAACTTACATCTTTCAGTGGCATAGACTTTTATAATTATACTAAAGATTGGTAAAGAGGTGTAAAAGAGGTTCATATATATATTAATAATCGATTGATTTATTAAGTACTTTATTAATATATACATTTAGGGTAATATCAACTAAACCTTCCAAGATATCAAAAAGAATATATTTAATAAAACTACTATATTATTTTCAGATTCCAACTAAATTAAATAATAATTAAATCCATATTTCTATCAATTTCCAGAAGAGTAGGTTTCTTTAATTGATGAGAATAAATAATTGACCTAAAGAGAATATTAATAATATTTCCCATAATAATTGATTAGACCTAAAACTAGCGTTAAATGATCATTATCTAATATATTTTATTTGCCAAATTTCGGTTATTTTAAGAATTCCAATTTTTCACTCTTGTTAATTAATCACTTTCTGTAATATTTATTATACTTAATGAACATTTTTGAAAGTCAATATATAGATTTTAAAGAAGATTGGGATGGATAAAGTACAAGTACAGAAGAAAAGGAAGATGAAATTATTTTTGAGATTGAGTAATATTTTATGAAATAAATTAAGTGTTCAACCAAAAAGATAGAAATTTGAAACCAAAGAATAGAAAAAATAGTTTATTGAAGAATATACAAAAAAAAAGAAAACTGAACTTTGTAAAAATTATTAAGCATTGGGATATTGTAAATTTGGAAATGAAGTATTATCACTTTCTCTATTCATTATTAGTGTTCTTTTGCACATGGTTAAGAAGAATTATAACCAAAAATTCATTTACATTAAAAATATAAAACTAAAGCTTGCATTCGATATTTTAATGATGGATTTTGTCCTTATGGAATTCGTTGCCAATATTTACATAATGAAATTATCAACCGCTAAGAATTTGAAATATATTTAATAAGTTGTTACAAAAAATATGGGATGAAACCACCTATTTCATAAAGTATATTCTTAAATTCTATTTAGAATTTTTAAAGACCACAGAGAGATTAGATGTTTAAAGATTTTAATAGATTTTCAAAAACATGTAAAAGCAAGGACTTTCAATTAATCTCTATCATAGATCTAATTTTTTTAAAAATTTAGAAAATTAACCTATCTCATCTTGAATTAATTTTATTTATATTGTAAATAATTAAAAAATTTTATGTCAACTCTTTATCTAACAGGTTCCTAGGCCACTTATGAATCTTTTGATGTTAATGTTGCTAATAAATTAAAGGATATTTGTAAGGATATGGAAGCATTAATAATCAAAACCAATTAAAAATTTTCAAGACTTTTATAAAGTTAATAAAATAGCTTTTATAAGTCTTTTCAATTAGTTATTGAATAAATCTCTTCAGATTTTAAGAATTTACAATAAAAATTTGATGAATACGTGACGTATTATGAAGATGAAACATAAGTAAAAGAATTAAGAAAATAGACTAGGTAGCAAAAACATAAAATAAATTGATTTTTTTTAGAGATGAGTGTTAAGTTTTAAATAAATTATGCATTGATTTGAAACATCAAAATCAAGAATTATAATAAAAAGTCAAAGAACTTGAATAAGTATTATCATTTATTTAATATTAAAATAGGAAATCAATAATCATAAATTTATACTAATTAAATAAATTGATAAAAACTCAAAATTAAATGAGGAAGCAGAAATTATGAAATAAAAAATACAATTATCTTAAAACATTTAATTAATGAGTAGATATAATGATTAAAATATAACAAATGAAAAGAAACTTAAAGTTCCTCATCTAAAATTAAATAATCGATTCCCTACAGATCTTACTGATTTTGAACATTAAAGTATTAGTACATTTAGCAATAAAAATTAAATAATAAACCTTTAGAAGGAAATAAAATCAAAAAAAAATCTATCATTAATTAATAAAACTAGTGAAGAGTTGACTAATACTAACTCTAGTAAATAAAAAATATATTAGATTGGTATATAAAATTATGATATTAATTTAGATCAATTTTTTGAGAAATCATTTAATTCAAGAACAAAATCATAATAACATACTTTAAAAAAGTTAGAACAGTCTGAAATTACTTAAAAGATGCAAGAAAGAAGCTCTTCAAATTTAAGATCTAACAAAAGTAATACTTAATATTAAAAAAAAATTCCATTAATATCCAGTTGATTAAAATAATTTATTTTTTAATTATGCAATAATATTTAAAGAAAGTGAAAAAGAGAATACAAGAATAGTGGATTAAATACGTTTTCATCCTGATAATACTTGCAATAGCTATGCTTAGAAATTATACAAATTAAAAAGTTTCTAATGAGGAGCCTGTAAAATTAACAGAAGAATAGATTTCTAAAACTGCATAATATAAATAAGACACAATAATATAATATGGCATAATGTCAGCTATATTTATTGGAATCCTTGCTTTTGTTTAAGCTTTGAATAATAAACATGATAAACCTAAAGATTAAGAAAAAGAAAAAGTAAAAGGTCAATGATGATATGTGGAAATAACAGTTAATTATTATTACCTGATAAATAAAGCTATTTTTTGTTAACTCTTTATTTTCTTATATATTTAAATTGGCAAGCAACGAAAAAAAATGAGCAGAAAAACACAATATCAAAGAATTCAAAAATTTATTTAACATTTCCGATACTATAGTTTCTCTTTTTGTTCTCTGTAAAAAATAAGCAATTATTCTCAATTCTTTTTACGATTATTCTATTTAGTACAAAGTTTGATTAATTTTGATAATAAATCTGAATCTTTTTGAATAGAAAGTTCCTTTTTATAATCTCTGTTTAAGATTTGTGGCTGAATTTCTATTTTTATTTATTAAAATAAAAAATTTACTACCTTTAGTAAAAATAGATCCTTCTTATTTAAACATTAAATATAAATATTTATTTGAATTTCTGTTTAATATGCTTATTTACTATAATATTTAAACAGTCAATTGTCTTTAATGAATAACCTAATAAAAATCATAAATTTTAGATTTATAGATTGCACTTCTATTAATAGAAATATGAAGTATAAAATCATAAATTTCTCTAGTATTTATTCTTCAATAATATAAACTCTAGTTAAAAATTATGAATAGTATAGTAATTTAAATATAGATTGGATAATTATAGATAAATCACTATTTGTTTTACATAAATTTTTAAATTCCATTCCAAAAAGATCCCAAACTTCCAATAAATCCATCATGTTTAATAAAATAAGGCTATATTAAATATATATAATATTACATGTCTATTTTATTAATCTAATTTTGAGAAGTAAGAAAAGGCTTCATTAATACATTATAATGTTTCTTCATGGTTTCTAATGAAATGACCAGAGAAGAATACTCTTTCAATATTATGTAATTTAGAATGTAAAAATGCTATTTGACTTATGTTATAAGTAGTCATATAAAGTAAAGATTTAACTATATCTGATTAATTAATATTTGGATTCTACTTTAACTTTCCCATACTGACAGCAACATGCTTTTCATTTTTATTTCTAGATGGAGATTAAAATCCTAAATGGACTTCATTCATTAATAAATCTGTAGCTGCATTAGAACCTTATTTTGTCATTCTTAATAATTCATCAAAATCATTAATTCCTGTAAATAAGTGACTCAATCCTAAGAACATTCCTCCTCCTAATGAAGTACCTGAAATTCTAGCAAATTAATCTTCATTATCAAATTTTAAAATGCTCACACCACTTCCTATATTCACTAATATGAATGGATAAATTGAAGCCTAAAAATTAATATTTATTAAAATACAGTTAATTACAAATTTTCAATATCATTATTAAATGTAAAGTATGTATTTTTGTATTTAATACTATCTAATAATTTAAATCCAAACTTTAGAGCATCAAATTCATTAATTCTTATTATATTTCCATAATTTTAAATTTAATCATAATACTTAAATGAACCTCCTCCAGTGATATAAAAATTTTAGATATTAGATTTTCCATCATCAATAAACCCTATTTATTCTAGTTTTTAAATTAGCACATCTAATGAATTAGGATGAGATGTAAAATGAATTTCATAATCTTCATTTTCAGTTATGACTATTAAATAATCTTATATCTCATACTTTTAAGTTCTTCTATCGTTTCACAATTTAAAATAAATCCTTTCTTAGTTGCAAATGTTAATTTAGTTAATGTTCCTCCAATGTCTAAACAAACTATAGGTATTAAATTTTAAGAAAATGATGCATTATTTTACATCTAAATATTAATATTCTAAATAAGAAACTAGCATATACATTTTATATATATTAAACATTTACGTCATTATATTATTCTATAATCATAAAATTGATTAATCAAAATTGAGGTTTTTTTGGAGGATTTCTATTCTGAAAGGCTTTTTTTTATAATATTTGAAATTACATATAGATATTTAAATAAAGATCTTTAAAGAATGAGGATAATAAGAGGAGTAATAAATCTGTATGTTTGCAACTTTATCAATTTTAATATAAATTTTATTTTTATAAGGAAAATTAAACTTAGGTTAATTAATATAAGGAAGAAAATAATTGAATTATTTTAAGATATTAACTAAATTTTATGTGGTTATTAGAATAAGGATAGATTAGTAAATAGAAGTTATATATATTTAGAATAAAAAAGTAAAAGGGTGTAAAAGATATAGCTATGGAATAATAAAACGATTATAAAACAATTTATATCCTGTGATTTGTGATGCTAATGATAATTATTAAATTGATGACGAAGGAGATAAAAAAATTAATTATATGAGAAAGTTAAGAATATAAAGTATTTATAAGAATATAATTAATAATTTGCTATCCATTTTTTATTTTTAATTACGAATTATGTGATTAGATTTTTTATTCAATAGAAGATGATTCAAGCTATTATTTAAAAAATTAATAATAAAGAATTCATCATTCAAAATAAATAATCTATTTACCAGCATTTTTATTTTATTCCATTTCTGTATGTAATCTAATAAATTAATTAATTCCATCTTGATCCCATTTTATTTTTGTAATTGAATCTACTGGAATTTCAATTTATCCACTTTATAAATAAGGTAAAACATTTTATTTAAATTCATCAATTAAATTCTTTTTAAAATCATCAGATCTTGATCTATTTATGATAAAAATATATTACCTTAAGGTTGTATTAATAAGATTTATTCTCTTCTATAATAAAGGACTTAAATTAAAATTGTCAATAATTCCTCCCGTAATTAAACCATAAACAATCCATTTTCCATCAATAGTTAAACTATCCAATGTCAATTTATAATTTTGTTTTCCTATACAATCAAAAACTGCATTTACTCCTAATGGATGAATAATTTATAGTTATTAAAATTATTATTCAATTGATTAATCTCTAATAATAATATTTTTAGTATATTTAGTAACAATCTGTACTTTTTCTTTTGAACAACTAGCTATAACATTGATTCCAAATATATTGCATAATTATAAAGCTGCTTATCCAACACCAGAAGCTGCTGCATAAATTAGACAAGAGTCTCCTTTTTTTAAATCTGATAACTTATACAATAAATAAGCAGTCAAATAAATTTCACAAATTCCCCCAGCCTTATTATTATTATAATTGTATTACTATATCTAATGGAATATTATCTGGAATATCAATTAAATGATCTTTATTAACAACTGCGTATTAAGAATATCCACCTCCTGGTAATATACTCATAACTTTTCTTATTCTGTTTCTATTCTCATCTAATTCATAACCAGCAAATTCTAATCCTAATATATTTGTAACTCCTTTAGGTATAGCATAAAGACCTTATCTTTATAAAGTATCTGCTCTATTTATAGATGTTGATTTAATCTCAACTAATGATTAATTCTTCTATATTTATGGAATATCTGATTAACCTAATTTCATTACCTCTGGACCTCCATATTCTAATTGAGTAACCTTTAATATATATTTATTAATACATGTTTCATTTTTTATTTATTTAAATTAATTATTTATTATCATATTCAAATTCAATTGTTTACTTTCTTGACATTATTTTATCTATTTGCTATATTTTAATTTATTCTTTCTTTTCTTCATCTAATAATTAATCAATATCCTTTCATTTTTTCTGCTTATTTTCTTGCTCTATTTTTTATTTTAGTTTATTATATTAAATTTTCAATTATCTTTTAATTCTATTAATTTCTTTATTTGTATACCTAATCTAATTAATGTTATTCTCTTAACTTAATCTCTCTTTCTTTCTTTATTTTATTTGGTTCATCTTTTTTATCCTAAATATAAATTTATTATATTTTTTGAATTAATAATTATTTTACCTTCTATACGAAACTTTCCCATTCGTAATCTTAAACATTTTTATCTCATTTATTTCCTATCTGTTAAAATGAAACTTACATTTCTCTTGAATTTAAATAAATATTTAATAAGTCATTAATTTATAATATATATCAAAAATTGTCAAACCTTTTTGTACTTTTATTCTTTTTCAAAAGAATTTAATATCTTTTTTTTGATGCTTGTTAAAAAGTATTATGTCTTAGCATATATTCCTTAATTTTTTTTAATTGACTAAATTTTACATCACAAAATCATACATCTTATTAATGTTATTTTAACTTAACTAAGTTTTCATCTTAAATCTATTATAACTTCATCATCTGCTTCTACATCTATTCATATTATTTCTCATTTGATGGATGCCAATGAGCAGAACTACCCCTTTTATTAAATTTATTCTATGAAAATTATTTTGCAATTTCTAAAACTCTTTATTTCATTCTACCAAATATTTAATTTTATGATAAATTCTATTATTAATATTAATGCTACGATACTTTCTAATTAAATAAGATAAAAGTTTTACTTCTAAATTTTCAGCCCAATGTGGCACTTTTTTATTATTACAATATAATCTCTTTTTCTTAGGAGTATGCTAATTTTTGTTTTCAATATTTTAAATATTTGTATGAATATTTTAACTATTAACACAAAAATCTTCTGGAAATGGAAAATCGAATACTGAAGATTAAAATTGAAATCCACACTCCTATATTATATTATCATCTCCAAAACTACTACTTCTCCATTTGTAAGAATGATGATCCAAATTTGAAGATTCATTTGTATTATAAGAAGTAGCTCTATATTCAACTGAAGAACTTTCATACCATTCCGATTTATTTGGAGAATCTATTAATTACTATTCTTCATCTTATTAATTAATAACAATTTGTTATTTATCTGAATATACTAAAACATCTTTATGACTAGAAGTTTGTTTTTACTCATCATAAATTTCAATTGACTTTAATTTTGGAATTAATTCTTCAGGATCTACTGATTCTATTAATTTCATTAACTCTTTTTATTCTTCTGCTTCTTTTTATTTATCTACTTTTATCTAAGAAAGTTATTGTGATAATAGGGATGCTTTTCTTATCTAAATTGGAGTTGAATTTTCATCTTAATCTACACTAAATTTTGGATATTCTGCAGATAAAATTTTATTTGATTTTTATATACTTTAATCTCTCAATTAACTTACTTATCTTAAGATTCTATTTTCATTATAATTTTCTATTTATTTTTAATTTTCCATCACTTCAACATTAAAACAATCACTCTACATATTCTTTTAAAACTATTCATTAATACACTCTTTTGTTTTTGAGTCCTTCAACCAATCATCTTCTCGTTCCTCTGTCACTGCTTCCAAATTTGACTGCTTCTAAGAGTACAAAATTAAACAATTTATTATCTTCATTGTTTAGCTTACTGTCTCTAATACACTGTTTGTCACTAAAGTCATTCTTTATTAAGTTTAGATTGTAATCTAAGATGCTGCTGCTGTTACATGAATTGAAAGTGCTAATATTTCCTTTGAAATCTCTTAATTCATATAAATTTAAAATAATAAAATAACAAGCTCAAAATTTAACTCATATTATTTATGAGCAAACTTAAAACTAAAAATAGACAATAAGTTCAAAATGACTTTGATTCTTTTTCAAGCAATAATAGTGATTAAAGTTATGATGATAATCAACCTGTCACTATGAACTTTTTAGAAGAAATTAAAGGGCATTTAGATGGGGACATTAGTTTTGAAACTAATGAACATAATATTTATGATCCTGCTTTCTCATAAACCATAAGTCATAAAATTAAAGATCATCAAGATACTGCATTTCATAAATTTAAAATTAAATCTGATACTCAATCTATTAAATCTTCCAATTCAATAAATATCATTTGTTCATTGGAAAGATTTTAATATTAATTACAACTTAAACATACTTAGAGTCTTCCAGATCAATATAATTTGTAAACTATTTCTGATTCATAAAAATAATAACAACTAAATTTATTATGGGAAAAAATTAAATAAAAAACAAAGGATTAAAAAAAATGATACTATTAATTAATATTCTTTTACATCATTTTTATGGATTGTGTTTTCATATATAATTAAATAAAAAAATTTTATATTCAACATAAATTATTAATTCATTATCCATTTTTAAAATTCATATGTGGATTAAAAATTTATTATTACTATTATTATTATTATTATTATTATTATTATTATTATTATTATTATTATTATTAATATTGCCATAAAAACATCATCTATTGTTATTCTTATGTCATTGCTCCATAATTAAGATAACTTTTATCTTAATAATATAATTACGGCATTTATGATAATAACAATTATTATTATTATTGATAATACATCATCTATTACATCATAGCAGCAGCTTAAAACTATTATTAAACTTATTATTATTAAATTTATTTTAATCCATTTTCAAATTATAACTAATTTTGTTAAATGTTAGTTAAATTTTAGTTTGGATTCTAAGATTTTTGATTAAAATTTTTGAATTGATTTGAATTTGATTTGTTCTTCTCAGTTTATAGTATTTTTTAAGTATATCTTTTAACATTTTAATTAGCTAAAGCAAACTTAAGTACAATTTAGCCATGATTATTTAATTAATTATTATCATGCAATTTATTTAATAGAGCCAAATATTCATTTCTTAATGGTTATTCTAAATATTCAAATAGCCTTTAAATTGGATAGTTAGCAAATTGATCATTAATCAATCTTTTAAATGAACTATAATCATATAAATATCATTCTACCTTTCTGAAATAGTTACTTCTTCCCATAATTTAGTTCTCCATTAAGATCCTCCATAAACTATAGCTTTCTCTGCTACATTACTACCATATTTATCCATTGACATTGGTATAAAATCTTTAATTAGATATTAATCCATCAACAATCTCTTATGTATTTCTTACCCTTTCTCCAAAATTGATTAAATTATATAATTTGCATATTATCTTCTAGTTAGACCTGAACTATTTTCTATTGCTCTAACTATGATATCATTACACAAAGTCTTAGTTTAAATGTCAAATTATTTAGGATATATATCTATTATCTTATTCACAATTAAACATCCATATTGATCTGTAGATAATTCAAATTTTTCATTATTTTTATTTAATATCTATTATTATTAAATAAAATATTTACATATTTTGACAACACCTAAAGAAGCTTCAATAAATTATTCCCTTCTAACACTTCTAGACTTTTTTAAATAATTTAATTTGCTATTTTATCTACATAAAACTTCTTCATTTATGGAGTATCAGAATGAATAAAATTAAGGTAATTTTCTAATTAATTAGGAGAATCTTAAGGATTTTAAATCATCACTTCCAAACCTTTCTGCATAACTTTACAAGCATATAGATCTTTTATTAATTTATTAATTGATTAAAATATTCTATCAAGTATTATATTTTTATGTGAATGAGGACCTAAAATTAATTTTATTATAATGTACCAACTTCTAGTATTTTTTCAAGTAGGAAATGCTTATACTTATCTAAACTAATATTTTCAATTTCATTTCTTACAAAAATATTAAATACATATTCTTTTTCTTTTAAATTTGCATTTTAGTACTCCTATTACATTTTTCTTGAGTTTTTTGTTAACTTCTCATGACTTAAATATGATGACCTAAAAAGGTTAACTAAATAATAGTACATGTCTGCTTAAAAAGCTGAAACAAGAGAAGGTCTTTAAGTGTCATTAATCAATACTTAGTTTAATTATTAGTTAATTTCATCAAATAGATCATCTAAATTCATATAATCAGATATAAATAACCTTCTTTATATATTTAATCTTCAAAAAACGCTGTACTAAATGTTTTTGTTGTATTAGTATTCTCAAATAAAGTAGGAGTTGCTGTAGAGCCACTTTAAGATGGGTGGCATTTCAATTCATCTTCTTCCTTATTGAATTCTTAAGGAACATAAGGTTAGGCCATCTTTTGAACTTTATAAAATAATATATATTTTTTGTAAATATCCAGCACTAAATTCAAAAAAATATTGAATAATTATATACAAAAGAACTAATTTTATTATATTTCTTAAGATTATTTTCATTTCGAAATGTTTCTAGAATATATTTTATAAAAATTCCATTTCTCTCATCATTAGATGCATTACCTCTTAAGTTAAAATAATATAAATTATACCAAAATATATAAAGTCACAAATTAAAAAGCATAATTCAAAATAAATTAACAGATATTCAATCTATTACAAGTTTTTTCTTTTATCTATTGAAATATTTAATTCTTATAAAGAGAATTTAGTAACATTAATTTTGAAAATTATAATGATAAAATTTCATATGCATTTGAGTATGTGAATAAATCTAATTATTTATTATTACATAAGGTTCAAAAAAAGAATTTAAAAAGCTGTTTGCAGATGTATATTATTTTATTTAAAAATTTATTCAATGCGTAATCTAACCCCTGATAAAGCATTCAGATTGAAAAAGCAGAGTATTTTCGAATTGAACTTTAGTGAAGAACCTAAATCAAATAAAATACATAGCCGATAAATAAATCAACAACCATTGGAAACTTTATTCTAAGCCTACACAAAAAATAGAGTTATTAAATTAAAGGAAACACATCACATGCATTGCAAAATTCAATCTCTTAAATCAAAACTAATTAGAATATTTAAGGATAATAGATAATAATCACCTCATGATGTATTCACAGATTAAAAAGGAAAATAAATATTAGAAGAATTAAAAGAATCTCATATTCTTAACATGTAAGGGTTATAAAGAATGGTAAACTCTAATGAAAAAAATCCATTTTTCTTAAATTAGCCTAGACACTCTAGTGGATTAAGAAAATGTTATTTTAGATATCCTACTGATGCTTTTGAGAAATTAGATAGAAGTACTGCTGTTACTCCATAACCTTTACTAAGAAGGTATACTCCTTTACTCAAGCCAAGAGTAAGAAATTCTGAATAATGGAATGAATTAAATGCTTGGCAAACTAAAGATGAGTCTACCACAAATTTATTTTGATTTAAAGTTTTGTATAATCTATAAATACTTTTACAATATATTCATTTATAAAAGATACCAAAATAATTTGAATTAAAAATTATTTTACAAAAATTAAGAATCATTTAAGAATATTGATCAAAAGCTATTCAGCTTATGAGAGTTCTTAAGTGCAAATTTACTATTGACTTTATTATTAATCAAAAATAGATATTTTTAATTGTTTATCACATAAATATGTTGGATTAGATTTTTATTTCTTTATTTAAAATAATTCCCATAGTTGTGTAAATTATAAATCCTAATATTATCCAAGTTCGGGAATATCATAAATATATTATTTTTATGGTTCAATATCCTATTTACATTGATTAATAGTAATTTCCCTTTAATAAAATAATTAAATCATATTAAAGATATCTGTTTAATAATGTCTCACATAATGATATAATTGATCATTATTTTTAATGCTTGAAATAAAAGAACTACAACTAGTAGATGCAAATGATATTGCTGATGCCTCTAAACTTTCTGCTTATTTTATTTCTGATGAATTACAATTATCATCACTTAGATAAGAAATTTATTTGAATAACTATCGTATTTAAAATTAGACATTGTATTACATAGATAAATAATTATGAAACCTTTGTAATTCATGATCTAAATGATTATTAGAAGAGATTAATTGTTAATCTTCAATATTATTCATTGAAATTTTAGTCATTTTTTAGCTGCATTACTAAAACTCTTTTATTTTCTATTTGAATTATTCAATTCTAAAAGAGGATAACAATTCAAATATATGATAATCATAAATGTATTAGCCAAAAATAAAGATTAGTATGTTTTCATCTATTAAATAATCAGTTATTAATAAAGGACTCAAATCTACTGCTAAATTAATCAATTTATGTAATTCTTAACAATAATCAAAATTATAATATCCATATTAATAAATATTTGTTTAATTTGTGCTAATGTCAATTAAATATTACACATAGTCTCTTAATTCTTAAAATTTGATATTCTTATTTCTGCTTTCAATCATTTTTAATCTAAATTCTTCTCTTAACATTACAATAATTTCTCCTTTATCTGATTTCTTCAACCATTAATTCACCATAAATTATCGTACAGTATAGTTAGGTAATCTATGAAAAGGAAAAGTTTTATCAATTATATAATTAAATTAATTAATTAGATTTTATGTCTCTTATTCTAATATGCTTATCCATCCTTTATAATGATGCCAAATTTGAATAAATTATTACAAATTACATTTTTTAAATTTTATTTCCAAATAGAGACTGTATATTTTAATATAATCATGTAAAGTGTAAATTTACATAAGTAATTATGGTAATTGAATATATATTTCCATTCCTTATCTTAATTTCAATATCAGATCTTAATTTTTATTAGCAAATTCTATTGATTCCTGATATTCTTTATAAAGAGATGTTGAATTGTTTAAATTTGATTTATTTATAAAATATAGAATGGCTTTCTAAAATCCACTATAATTGAGTTTTTCATCAACAATAATTGGATGTTCTTTTAATTATTATCGAACACTTTTAATTGCTCCATTGAAGGGTATTCCTCTAATTGGAATGAATATAAGGCTTTAAATGATTTTCTTCCAATTTTATGATATAAGTTAATCTCCTTTAACATTTAAAAGCCTTTGACATTCAATTTGAAAACAACCTGATGTTTGAATAAATAATTAGTAGGTAACCTTTGAAGTTAATAAAATGTTATGGTACTCTTTAATACTTAAATAACTAGTCAACAATGACAATATTTTTTATGATAACTTGGAGAAAATACTTTAAATATATTAGTTAAAACATACATCTATTTTTTGTTATTGCTTAAAAATGATTGTAAAGTATTTTTACTTTTTGATTTAGCTTCATTTTTAGATTAGTTATTTCCCATTTCAAAGAATTATCAAAATTACTAAATTAATTATTTAAATAGTATTTAACATCCATTATTTTTTCTATAATTTTGTTAAAATTAAATAATTTCTCAACTTATTTGTTCCATTATTTCCATTCACTATTCTTGCAAAGAATCACAAAATAAACAACAATATAACATTCTTATTTGTCTATATTTATAATTATTTTCATTTTACTAAGGAATTAATTTTATATTTAAGTTAGTTTAAAATCTAATCTTATAAATTGTACTTAAAGTTTTAGATGATTATGATAATATTTCAATTTATTAAACATAATAAATGTATTGTATTAAATTATATATTTCATTAATCATTCCTCTTTTGCATACCTTAAATCTTTTATGTTTTATAGAGATAATCATCTAAATTTGGCAATACAAATATAAATTATTTTAATTTGTTACATAATTTATTTACAAAATAATCGTATCATTTAAGCTTAAATAGTTTAGAAATAGTTTTGATTCAAAAATTAATTATAATCAAAGAATTCAAAGAAAACATTATTTGCTTAACTAACTCAATTTTATAATCTTTATATCAATTTGATTGCTATCTGAAATTCTTAAATCTGAAGTGAATCTAATAAAAAAAATCTTATTTAATAAAATTATCAAACTGGTTTGATAAGCCATATTAATTTTGTTTTATGAAGAAGGTATTCCATGTTTTAAATTTCTAGTAAATTTCAATTTAAGCAACTTTAATATTTAAGGTTTGCTAATTATTTCCAATAATTTATTTTATTTTGCACAAAATAAATTTACTTATTGTTTTAAAAACCTAATTTAATGTATTGGATTTGTGATTAAATAGAAATTATGTAAAAAATCATAGATTATTTGTACATAAAAAATAATGGATATGCTATAAAAATAATAGAATATTATCAAAATGAGTTTTATTGCTAAAATACTTTTTAAAATATTGTTGTTGTTTCTTCATCAAAATTGCATAAAATGATTTAACCTTAATTATTTGATGTATCCTTTTAATACTCTTCAATGACAAGTTTAAATATTTGTGCACATAATCCTTTTGGAAATCCATAAATTCCGCTAGAGATTGCTGGAATTGCAACTGATGACAATCTCAAACTATTAAAAGATTAATTTAGACTATTTCCAAATAATAAAAATATTAATACATATTCTAAACACATATTTATAATTCTTCTTCCGGATTTGATGATTCAAAATATTTTGGCCCAACTGCATGAATAATATATTTTATGTTATTTTTTTATAATTGACAACTACTTGTAACAGCTAATTTAGATGTAGGTACAATTCCATGTTATTAAATATATAATTAACATTCTCTTTCTAATTATTTCCCAGCAGCCTAAAATATTGCTCCACAAACTCCACCTCCAGGAATTAATTATGAATTGGCTGCATTTACTATTGCATCAACATCAACTAATTTGACAATATTATCTTTTATGATTTTGACAGAAAGGCTATATTTTCTAACAAGATAATTAAACATAATTAATTATATGATTAAAATAATTTGTATTAAGATTTAAAAGCAATAAATCATTTTTCAGATTATTATTATTTCAGACACCATAATTCAATATTAGGTCCCAAATGCTTCATAAGTGAGCAAATTTAATTTGTTGGGCTTGAATTTCTTTTATTTTAATTTTCGTCTTTGAACTATAGGATTTTTAGTAATGGAGAACATTGATCTTTCAGTTGACATTTAAACTTATTGTTCATCTGAGTAATTAGCATCATTTTTAATTGAGTTTCTAGTACTTTGAGTTTAGAAATTAAATTTTTGATGAACTCGATCTTATTGAGCATTTCCCATTTTTACTTTTTTAATATTAAATAATATTGAAAATGAATTAATTTAAATTGTAAAAAATGTCAAACAATGACGCATTAGATCATTATTAAAATTATGCTTAGTTTTAGGCTTACTATAACAATTCAAGATTAAAATCTTCATTTTCTTCAGAATTAATAATATTATTATTATTATCAGTTCTTTTTTAAATGCTTTCATCTTCAGGATCATCGACTTCTAGAATAAAATAAATAATATATATACATACATTAATATTTATATCTTGGAATACTTGCAGTAGGTTTCATATAATTAGGTTCTTTATAATCTTCATAATCAACAACTTCAGGTTTATTAATGACACTTTTTAATTATTAATATGCTTTAGTTAAATCTAATACTGGTCTTCCTGATGATGTTTAATTTTAATCATATTCTTTATTATCTCCTAAAATTTCTTAAGCTAATTTCTTAAATTCTTCATATGATGATGGTTTTTAATTATTATTTAGTAATTAATACTATTACTATATTTTTTATTATTATTATTATTGTTATTTAATTTATTAATTTTCAGTTACAAACATATTGTCTTCTTAATTTTCATCAATTTAAGATTACTCTTCTTCATTTTATAATAAAAATCCATCCTTAGATTATTCAATTGCTGGTAATTTAAGAATATCATTTTCAACTCTCTTTAATTATTCAAATTTACAAGGAGGTCTTTTAATTTTAGGTTTTTTAAGATAAGATTTTTCAATTTCTTCATTAATAAGAATACCGCCTGTTCTAGCATGTATTTCCATTTCTAAACCTTGATGATCTCTAGTAATTCCAAATGGATTTCCTGTTATAATAATTTTTTTAAGATTAGTAAAATTTCGAGCACATATAAGATTATGTTAATTTTCAGCTATATTATAAGAGAAATCTAAAGTTTCTAATTTATTGAAATATCCAACTACCAATCTTTCAGTATGAATTCCTCTTAAAAAGTTTTTACTAATATTTAAAGTTTTTAATTCAGGTATCTAACCTAAGACTTCCCATAAGACAGATGCTGTCTAATTTGATTAAAATGCATTATCACTTATATCTAATAATTCTAATTTAGTAAACTCTGCCATATCTGTTGGTAATTCAAGTAATTCATTTCTTACTAAATAAAGTTCCTTCAACTCTGTTATATGTTTTAACGAACTTATAGCTTCTTTATTTAAATAATTAAAAGATAAATCAAGATGTTAGAGTTATTCAAATGTATTCTTATGAGTTATTTCTATACTTTTAATGTTGTTAGCACAGATCTTTAAAATTTTCAATGCTGGAAATGAAGTTAAATCCTCCAATTATAATTAATTTTCAGAAACATCTAAATCTTATAAATTTAAAAAATATTAGAAATCTTCTGGTTTACTGTTTTATATACGAAGTCCTAAATATGTTATTTAAATATTAAACTTGATAAATTTGCTCTAATAATCTCATGTGGATTATCATTATTAGTTACATTAATCATTAAGAATCCATCTAAACATTTTACTCTCATAACAGTATCATCAGGAATATAATAGATTTTTGTTTTGAATGGATTTTTAGTATGAGCCTTTCTTTTCTTTTTTCCAAGTAATGGTAATTAAAAATGGTTCAATTTATTATAGGCTACAGGAAATGGGATTTAAGAGTTAGCTTTATTTTTCATAATAAATTATTATTATTATATTGTTAATTCTAAATTATGTAAAGATCAATTGGTTATATAAAGAATCGAACCAAAGAATTTCAATTGAAAAAATAGAAATATAAATCACCAGATCTAAATAGCAGTAGAAGAATATACTAATTACCTCCATAATGGGTTGATAAAATGGAAGAAACTAGAGATACTATATAGAAAGTTGGATTTTTAAATTAAGAAATTGAAAAATTGAAAAATTCAAAAGAAGTTGGACCAAAAGCTTAATTTAACGAATAAATTATATAAGGAAAACTTGATTAAGCATTACAGGTTAAAATCTGAGTATAGTAGATGATTAGAGATATAGAGGAGAATTTATAAATTATGGAAACTGATGATTGTGAAAATGATCTTGAATACAAAATCAAATAAAATGCTAAAATGTGTTTAGGAATCTCACTAAAAGAAGTCACACCATAATTAAGGAATTATTAAAATTAAATGATGAAATAAGTACAATTAGAAAGACCTACACAAAACTTAAAAGTTGATTTTGAATAAGAATATATTGATACATTAATTTTGGATAGAAATGAGAGAATCAAATCATTAGGAGAAAAATTGAAAAAAATGAATGAATTATTTAAAGAAATGAATCGATTAGTTATTGAATAAGGAACTTTATTAGATAGAATCGATTTTAATATAGATTAAACTTTTACAAGAATTAAAAAAGGAAAATAATAATTAATTCAAGCAAATACAAAACAAGAGACTAGTGACAGAGCTTAGAAATGTATTTGTATTTTAGTTGGATTAAATATTTTTATAGCTTTTTTATTTGTAATTAAACATACATTATTTTGAAATAATCATATAAATTAAAATTAACATTTTAGAAAACTATAAAATAAAAAGTAATCTAATTATTTAAAGATTCATAGGCTATTCCCTGTTTATATCCAGTAAATGTTTTAAATTATTAAAAATCTATTTTAATAAACTTTAAATAATTTTTTTGTTTTAACATATCCTCAAAAAGTTTTACAATTTTTTTTTTGATTTAAAAACAAAAAAATACATATATTCTTAAATATTAAGTTTTTCTCATAATAAATAATAAATTTATATGTTAAATTCTAATTTAACAAAATTTTGTATAAATAAAAATTAATAATAGTTTAATAAATAATTAAAAATAAGTTTACGATTATATCGAAGGTATTTTAAAAATTTATAAATATAAAGAAAATACACATAATAGGTAATCAGAAAGGAGACTTGAATTGTAAAGTTTCAACGGATTGAATTCTAAATAAATAAATATAAATAATTACTTTAGTTATAAATTCTAAGCTTTATTAAAGTATGAATGCTCAATACATTAAACTACAGAATATCTATTGTCTTAAAAGTCAAGCATTTTAAATAATAATTGCTATGCCTTTTAATCTTTGACATTTCTATAATCAATGGCAAATAAATTATGTTTTGATAATCTTATTATCTATTATCTATTCAAGTTTCTATCAAACATGGGACTCCCTGTCAACAATACGTGAAATACTTAGGCTAAGCTATATATATCGCATTTTTCATTGTAATGTTTTCCATTGATGATTTCTGGAGCAAAGTAGCCAATAGTTCCACATTTCTCACATAAATAACTAAGATTTTCCTTAAAAGCAGAAAATCCAAAATCAATAATTTTAATACTCTTATGATCATAAATATCTTCTAACATAATATTATCCATTTTGATATCTCTATGTATGATGCCAAGATTATGGATGTGATTTAATCCTGATAATATTTGTTTCATAATTGATTTAACTTTTACCTTACTAATGTCACTAGCATTTGAATTTACATATTAATTTAAGGTTCCACCAGAAAAATAAGGATATATAAGTATTATTTGATCATTTTCAAAATAATATTCGATCATACTAGCTACATTTTAATGCTAATGCTAAGCAATGTGTAAATTTATTTAAAGCTCTCTTTCTATTAGAAAATGATTATTCTTTTGTAGTTTTGCAACAAAAATTTGTTTATTTACTCTATTACAACATTTGATTATCTATAAATTATATAGATATAAAATACCTCTCCATTTTGTATTTATTTTATTGTTTCAAGTTTCTAGTAATTATTTGAAAAATTGCTTTATGCCACTTTGATTTTCAATTCTTAAAACCCTCTACTACCACTCTCACAATCAATAAAAAATTTTTCTTGGAAGTTCTCTTTATACTCAAAAGTGACCTCGTGAATATCTTCACTAAAAAATTATATTATATATTACAATTTAATCCAAGTCATTTTCTTAATATCATCTATGTTAATTTTCAACATCTAATTGAACTATTTCTACTTTATAAAAAAATTCAGTTTACTTCTTGAATATCAATACAATTTCCTTTAACTTTCAAACTTGATATTTGAATCGGTAAAATAGAACTAGATATTCTATTTGATAAAGTTTGAGATTAATCCTTTTACTCAAATTCTTTAGTTTTCATTAATAGTTTATTGTAAATTTAATTAATAAGAAGTAAATTAACTTCCACAATATAAATCCAGTTGTCCTGACGTTTTAATAGTTAATCATCTTATTAAAATTACTCTCTCTATATTAGATATTTAAAAATTTTATTGTTTAAAAAAAAATAAATACCCTCTTGTAACATATATTTAAAATTGATTTTTTCTTAAACCTTTGATTCTATAAAAGAATTATTGATTACAATAAAAATTGTCTTAAAACTTCTTCTAATTTGTAATAGCATCTTGAATTTGATAAATTTGTTTACTCTAGCTTAACTTCAGTACATAAAATATATGCTGGAATTTAAAATTGTTTTATCAATCATTCAACTCTATTTTCTTTAATATAAAAATTCATGCCATACTTTTAATATTAATAGTTATTATAGATCCAGTTCGAACATCTCCAGAATTTTTTTATTATTTTTAGTTTCTTTAAATTGAAGTTAATTTATGAATTAATATTAACTTTGAGATCAATAGAGATTAAAGTTAATTAAGATTATCATTTCCACAAATATATTAAGGGGAATCAATATATTAAAAGGATCATCAATTAATATATTTTTAGTGTTTTCTTATTTCTTTTTTTTGATTTCAAAATGAAAATAAATTTTAATAGTATTCAAACAATAAGAAATAGATTCATATTATTGGTAAATATAGATAAGGAATTAAGCATTTTTCCATTTAAAATAAGAATCTAAAAGAAAAATAAAAAATAAGAAATATTTTATACATTAAATCAAATAAAAATGAATTATTTCCAGAATGCAAGACAAATTTTAAAGTCTAATTATCTTTTTATTATTCTAATGGATTTCTAAATTAGGGCAATCTTATTTTTTTTAATTTTTAATATAAATCCTTAAATTAATTTATTATAATTATGGCTGGGGGTATTTTTAAAAAATTAGAAATAATGTGATTGGGGTATTTGATTTTTTCATTTAAAAATTAATTCACATTCGTTGCAAAATTAAGATACATTTGATAATATTTAGATTTTCCCACACTCTTTTTTATATTTCAGCTCGTAATCTTGAATTACATGTAAAAAAATCTATATGGCTTTAATTCCATCATAAGATTTTAAATCTTCTTCATTTGTAAGGCATTATTGGAGAATATCATTTAACAATATTGTAATTGAAGTAAATCCTTTCTTCAGGAATGTATCAATCAAACTAAAATAGTTGAAAAATGTACATTTAAAAAAATACTAAGTATAAAAGAAATGATTTATTTTATGTCGAATTTTGTGGTAAAGAAATTAATAAAACATGATAAATGTTTTAAATTTTCATTTTATAACCTTATATCAAAAAGGTTTAACCAAATAAAGTATCATTTTTGAATTTGTAGTTTTTAATTTTATATTCTAATTCATTTTTGAAAGAAGTTCCTGCTAATTCTATAATTCTTTAAGCAATTCCAGAATTAAGATTTTCAGGATTAATTGGTACAACTAAACAATCAGTTGGAGGACCAAAGTTTTATTAGGAATAGATAATTGATCTTAGTTTTTCATCTATAAAGATATTCTAAAATATTTCAACTGCTTAATCAATAATATCAACTATTAATATAGTTATAGGTCTAGTAAATTTAAAACTTAGAAATGTTTAACGAAAGATTTCAGCACATTTAAACAAAGGAAAACCATAAAGTCCAGCAGATATAGGTGGTATTGCAATAGTGTTAATATTGTATTCCTAACATTTTAATAATCTATATAGTTCATTAAATTGAAATATATACATATTCAAAATGCATTTTCTTAAATCTTCAGCTGATTTTTCAGGAGATTAAGGATTATATATTGGACCAACAGCATGAAATATATATTTTGGTCCATTTTCTTATTCTAAATTGTAACTATTAGTAATAACAACTTCTGATGTATTAATTGATTTTCTCCCTGATTTTTACAATATCATATTAATTTCATTTTCTAACATATTATAATCTGCGGCTCGAAAAATAGCTCCACAAATGCCACCTCCTTTTTTAAGGTCATAACTAGCCGCATTTACAATTGCATCAACTCCTTTAATTAATGTGATATCTTGTTTAAAAATTTAAACTGATAATAGAGGTTATGTAAATATCATGGGATCTAAATTAAAAATCAATTACTTAAATACCTTTTTGAACAACTATCCAACTTTTATTATTAAATTATATCTTCTCCTTACTAACTGCTTAAGGAAAACTTTAACATGCTTCTAAAAATGAACTATAAGGAACATCATTTAATTAATCCTTTTAATTTACTATCAGATAATTATATATATCCTCCAAACATAGACAAAATTTATTATTTTTCAAACATTTTAAAGAATAGAAAAGTCTTTATTAATAAATAAAAATACATATCATTAAAGCAATCCAATAATTATTTTTAACTTCCATCTTCATTAGATTTATTTGGACAGAACACTAATAAGACAAAATTAGAACCAAATATTGGTATATTTGTTCTTATAGATTGTAAATAATGTCCTTTCTCAGCCTAAGCCAACTTAACAATATCATCCAGTACATTATCCAATTACTTATCTAAATTTATAAATGAAGGTAAGGATTATTTAAATTAGTATTTATCAACAGGAATAACTACACAATCTACTTAACAAATTATTTAATATTATTCTCTTTACTCAAGCTTGAAGTTTTATTAAACATTTTGCTATTACATCTTAATTTATTTAGATTAATTGAGTTCTTACTTATTTTATATTTAATTAAACTCTTTAAACTAATCCTCTTCTTACTCATTATTTTTATCCTTAAACGGATTTCGATCATTTCCAAAATCTTGTTTTTATGTGTTTATTATTTTCATAGACATAATATATTATTTTATATCTTTAATTGTCTGTAAATTACCTTATGTGTAAAATTCATTTATTGCTGTTATATTTTACCAATAAGTTGATTCATCACTTGAAACAAGAGACCATAAATACTAAATTATTTAATTTATTTATAATCTTTGAGAAGGTGAATTAGCAAGCATCCTTTCAATCAATTAAAAAAAATCCTTCATTTATAATTCTAATATTAAAATGAATTTATTTACTGTATTATTAAGTTTTGTTAATTATACTTTGAACAACATATTAGAAATATATTCCAAGTGAATATGAATCTTGATTTACAGATAATTACTATAGTTTTTCCATTTCTGGTGGACAAAATGGTTACAATTCTTCGGGGGTTGTTGATAGTTTATATTATAGTTAGTATTTAAACTCTTCATTAAAGTATGCTGGATTTAATTAGTTTTTTAATAATTATAAATGAAGATATTTGAGATCCAGACAAACTGTTAACATGAAGTTGATTAAATCCATTCTGTTCCTTATTCTATTTAAGGAATAATCTGCATTCTCAACATATAAACAAAAATAGTTTTAATTAGCTGGTTTTGAATAATATGGTTTTTTCAAAGGTTGTTTATAAGTTTCTTCATATGGAATATTATTTTCAAATTAGTTTTATTAAAAGGAATCTCTTTTATTGTTATTGGTTGAACATTATTAACCTTCCCTTTATTATTATTAATATTATAATGATTATTATTAGTATTAGTATTATTATTAAGCTTTTTTATTATCATAATTCCTCCTAAGTTAAGCAATTTCACTCTCCTATTCGAAATTCAACATCGAATTGTTAAAACTTTTGTTTTAATCATTTTATATTTATTTTTCTATCTGTTCTGTATTGGATTATAAAGATTTATTTTAAAATTCATTAACATCATATAAACTTTTTAAATTTCTTACATCAGCCTCATCATTAAATTCTTCAAATTTCATTTAAATTTTCTATTCTTAATTTGATTTAAGACTCTATTATTATTATTATTATTATTATTATTATTATTATTATTATTATTATTATTATTATTATTATTATTATTATTATTATTATTATTATTATTATTATTCATCTGGTTTGATTAATATTAAATCATTTTTTTTCTATTAAAAAATTTCACTTTTTAAGATAATCAAATCTAATAAAAAATCTGAAACAAAAGCATAATCATCCTTTGTAAAACAAACTAATTTAAATTGTACATCCTTAAATTTTTCTTTTTAATTTACAAAAACCTTTTTAAAAGCATTTAATGCCTCATCTGGAGGATAATCAGAAGCACCACATCCAAGCAATGGAATTAAAATAGATTTTATTTTATTAATATAGATTTAATTGAAACTAATTTTTAATAGATTTTATACATATTTTCGAAAAGTTTGACTAACTACATAAAAGACTATTTTTCATTCTTATGATCATAGTATGGTACAATACAATGAATGATATATTTGAATATATTATGATTAATTGGTAATGCAATAGCTTGTGTAAATTAAATTGATCCAGGTTTTTATTTTTATAAATATTCATCGCATGGATTTTAAATATTATATTAGCCAAAGAAATGATATGCATTTTATCTCAAACCTGGAGCACACTGTAAGTTTAATCCAGAGGGTAAAGCTATTGCTTCTGCTTAATTTTAGAGAATATCTCCCTAAATTAATGATAACATTTTATTTTTTATAATTATTTAATTAATGATTACCATTTCCAATAAAGAAATGAATCCTTGTAGGTTATATCTATTAAAAACTGATAAACTTATTATTAGAAATAAATAAGAAGAAGGATTGACATTTACATTTATTCAATAAAAAAGCAAACAATTGAAATTAGAAGAATAATTTAAGTTTGATTGTAATGTTGGTAATCATTATTTGATCTGTGAAAAACTTAACCTAAAAGCTGAGGTTTATGTTTTTAAAACTTAATATGATAGAGAAAAATATTAAACATAAGAAGAAGAATTTAAAGCTACAAAATCAGAATAATAATATGATAGTGATGATATTTCGAATGAAAATGATGAAATAATGAGTGAAGAAATAGGAATCTTACCTTAAAGAAAAAAAAAATTGCTAAGATGGTCAACTATAGAGACTTCCTCGACTTATTATTCTAAAAAAGAAAATTAATCAACAACTTCTGATATGAGTGAATAATTATTACCAGAAAAAAGAGGAAAACGTAAGGGCTCTGATCCAGTTATATAGAAAACAGAACTTATTGTAAAACCTAAAATCTAAAGAGGAACTAATTAAATTAATAATTTATTATAAATTCAATAATAAGCAAAAATGAATTTAAAAAAATAAATAACAATCTCATAAGAATAATTATCTTAACTTAAACGAAATTGGAATGCTTAAAAACTGATTAATGAATATCTTATCAATTAATATTCTTATTAATGAATCTCATTTCTCTTTTCCTAATCTCTATATGAAATAATGTTTCTATAATCAAATTGTTATGTAAACATATAAATAAATATTATTCTTTTTTAAAGTTTTTGTGGAATTCTATAAATAATTAATAGAATATTAAGTTTTATTCAAATTTATATAAAAAAAAAAATTTAATAATAAAATTTCATTAAATGAGCAATTAGTAAAGATAATATATTAAACCAATCATAAGAAAAGCAAAAAAAGTTTAAAAAGTATGTCAGGATGAAGAAAATAATTTTGGATTATCTGACTTTTAAAATGATTCAGATGAAATCTATAATTTAATAGAGGAATTTTCTGGAAAATGCATACTTTTACCAAACTCTGAAGAATTTGATAATGAAGATGAATATTAAAAAAAGAATAAGACTGGAGATAATTGTTTCTCGTATATAATTAATTCAAAATAATAAAATTCTCCTTCTTTTGAATAGAAGTTAGAAAAAAATTAATAGAGTTTCAAGATAGTTGATAATTTTTCATCATTAGAAACTTAATCAAATATTAGCGATGAGATAAATGGTGAAAAAACTGACTATATAGTTGCTATATAAGGAGAGATTAATTATTTGGAGGGGTTGGACTTCATTTAAAAGACTGTTATTTCAAAAGATAAAAAATAAAAAAATTTAAAATAAATAAAAAAATAAAATAATAGAAATTCACTACTCAAAAATCTTTAGAAAAAAAAGATTTCTAAACTTTATAGAAAATAATGATTTTCATATATTTACTTGTATTATAATTTAAATCTAACATTAAATAAATAAAATTTATAATGTCAAAGCGATATTTTATTAACAATTTGGATAGTCCATTGGGCTAAGAGTTTTACTCATAGTTAGTAAAGGAAGATACTGAAGAAGGAGTTCATATGGCAACATACACAATTGATGATCCAAATAAGATGCCTCCAAAAGGTTTCAAAAAAATATTGAAACGGTATGAAAATTCTATATGTTAGATGTAAGCCTAAGTTATCTAGAAAAAAGATGCTTGAAGAATGTGATGTTTATGTATATGATATAGCATCAGCTACATAACAAGACTTAGATTTTGTATGCGATATATTTAGAAGTAGCAAAACAACATTAGAAGAATAGAAGGTATGGGTATATGTTATAAATAGGTGTTAATATTAGTATCATCTGTTTTAACATGGAGTGCAATGCCAGATAAAGTAAAACCAAAAGTAGAGAAAAAAGCAGATGAAGAATAAGAAGGAGAATAATAAGAATAGGCAGAATAATAGTAAAAGAAAGAAGAGCCAGAAGAAAATTAAGAGCCAAAAGATGAAGAAAATTAAGAATAAGAATAAGAATAATAATAAATTTAGTAATAACAAATTATTGAAGTTCCTGAGGTTATAGAATATGTACCTTGGGAAGAAAGTGATTTTAAATTAAGAAGTGCTTCTGCTTAATATTCATAATTAAAAGATTGGGAAGACATGGTCTTAGGTTTACAAAAAGAAAATCTAAAAGTTATTGTAGTTTGTGCAGGCTTAATTTATGGCAAAGGAGAATTACTCTTTTAAAAATATTTTAAAGTAAATTATTCCATCTTATAATTAAGAAAGCATGGTTATAATAACCTTATAAATTAAGTTATTAGTAAGATGGTAATAATAAAGTACCTACAGTTCATATAACTGATCTAGTGAAAATGATTGTAAAGGTTTCTGAATCTATTCCAGAGTCAAATTATATTTTCGCTGTTGATAACACTTAAGATAGATCTCAAAAAGCTATAATATAAGGTATAGCAACAGGTGTTGGAAGTGGTTGGATTGAACAAAATGATGATTTCTTTAAGGATTTTACTCCTGAAGAAATGGATTGTTTCCGATTACATTTAGATTGTAAACCATCTTAAATGTTTGTTGGAAATGAAGAAGCCCCATCTGATTTTGAATGGCATTGTGAAAAAGGAATTGCTGTAAATGCAAAAAAAATATTATAAGAATTTACTAATATTCATAAATTAAGACCAATAAAAATAATTATGGAATCTAAAGCAGAAAATATGAGATTTTCAGATATTTTAACAATGATAAGTGATCATTATAGAATTCCAGTGATTACTTAAGAATAAATTTTTATAGATGCTTAAGATTCAAATTATGTTTTCCCATAAGAAATGTTAGAAGATTTTACTGAATATTGGCCTTTAATTCAAGAATATATGAATAGTAAATCACCAGCATAATTGTCAGAATAATTAAAGATTTATTATAAAATAATAAAATGGAGATTAAGTCAAAATGACTGTTAAAATAGAGGTTTTATTTTATAAAATTTTCCTAATTTCTTTGAAGAAGCGGATTTTATTTTTTATCCAAATAAATAAAAACTTAAAATGAAAAAGAAGCCTAAGAAAAAACCTGTTGTTACTGAAGAAGAAAAGAAATAACCTTAAGAACCTGCTGTTGATGAGAATGGAGATCCGATTGAATAAGAATAGCCAGAAGAGTAATAATAAGAAGAATAACAATAAGAAGAACAATAGGAGGAAGAACAATAGGAAGAAGAATAATAAGAAGAAGAATAAGAAGGAGGTCCAAAACCAGAAGATTTCTTTCCAGAATCTTATATAGTAATTAAACCATTAGGAAAAAGTGATAATTTTGATTATAACAGAAAATTAATTAATTTTTTTAGTGAAAGAAATTTGGATGCATATTTCATTGATCCTAGAAAAAAAACTAATCATGACACTTTTGAAGATTTGAGAATTTACATTGAAAGAGTAATTATATATTTTATCAAAAAAGAATGGTAGACCATATAATTACTTATAAAATGAATCTGAATTAATAGTTCAGTATTTCAATTTGTAGAGAATAAAAGATTTAACAATAAAATATACAAGAAAGTAAGCTATATAGATCTGGAAAGAGATAACAAAAGTGAAAAAGGATAAAAGATAAGGTTTGGTTACAAAGTATACAAAATACATATAGGAACAAGAATAAGAATTACAATAAGTGAAACAATTTCCTTTTAGAAACTATTTGATGGATTTTGTGGTACCAGTATTAAATGAAGGATTAGTAGAGGTAGCACATATTCTACCAGATGATCCAGTAGAATTTTTGGTATTTAAATAATCAATAACAATTAGGCAGAATATTTATATAAAAGGAGTTTTAATGTTGACAATGAATGATATTATAAATTATTAATATAAATATGTATATATACTGTAATGGATTTGATGTAAGAAATGATGATTTGATGTTTTATTTTGGGTTTGTTTTACTTTAGTCTAATTTATTAGGTTTTGTCAATACATAATGTTATAGCTTTAAAAATTGTACAAAAAATACAATAAGCATTTTGATTTTGATCAAGGGAGTTTTGATCTATATTGATGAGATAAAAATAGAGGAATCCAAAAGGATTCATCTATCACTATTCAAAAGAACTAAATCTTCATTAATTTTTTTAATGAAAATTAGCATATCCATAATTCAATTTATATTCCCTTTCTTCTATTCGAATAAGAAAATAGTTTATCAAAAAAATTTCCAAGAGAAATTGTAAATAATAAAAAAATGATAAAACAAGAAGAAAATTAAAGACTTTGATGATAGAAAATTAGTTGAAAAAGAAGATATCTATTTAAACTCCAGTATATCTTATTTATAATTAACTCAATTAGTAATTAAGAATTCCTATCTTTTCATTTTCAAATTTGGATTCTAAAGTAAGTCTTAATATTATTAATGACCTTCCTTAACAATTTCGACTGCTCTCTTAGCATCAAATATTTAATTATTGAATAAGATTTAGTTTTCTTTTTTTCCATCAAAGGTTTTAATATAACGAAATCGATTAAGCATATATCTACCTAAATCAGGATATTTTTTTTCATAATCGTTAAATTCATTAATTTTTAATTAATCAGCTTCTTCAGTGTTTAAAACCAATATTTTCCAATCTACCTCATCTTGATCTAAAACACAAAAAGCTCCAATAATTTTAGCTTAAAATATATCACCTGGCTTGAATACTTTCTTCATACTTAAATCTAAAATATCTAAAGGATCGTCATCTCCCTTGAATCCTTCATGTAAATTAATGGTTGAATTTTCCCATGTTTAAGGTATAAAGCCATAATTGTATGGAGCAAATTGTGCATAATATCTTAGTTCTTTTTCATCTGAATTTTTTTTCGTCTTTTTATCTTACACAATTGGATTATATTTAATAGTTTTACTTACTTCAAATTTTGCTAATCTCTCTTTAGGTATTTCAATTCCTACATTTATGATATTAAATTATTCTTTTATTGGATAGATTGGTACATCATGCCAAAATGATGTTATTTTATCATTAGAATATAAATTAATTTGATAAGAGAATCCTGAACCTTATTCAGTTAATCGATATGAGTGATTCTAACTGAATCTTTAAACAATTCTTAAAATATTCATAAATAAAATAAATTATAAAAAGAAAGCAAAGAAATGGCATAATTATAGTTAAAATTTAATCATTGCCAAGAAACACTTTCTCTACTTTTGCCAACTTTATATTATATTTTCCAAATTGTAAAAACATATCTTTTAGTAGGATCTATGGATTCTCTATGAAATTAATATAAATAATAACATACAACAAACTACTAATAATTTAAGTAAAATACTTTGTATAAGAATTACATATAGGTAAAGATTAAAACAAACCTTAATAAATTAACAGCATTCAATCCCCATTCTGGATTGTTTTGATCATCACTATACCACCATAACTAGCTTATAATATTTCACTACATGATATTGCTTCATCCATAAAATATCATATAAAATTGAAGCAAGAAGTCCTATTCCTACTACCTTTATATGAAAAGGTTCAAATCTATCCATTAATATAGTAAACATCAATCCATGACATACTAATACCTTTTTAAAATAAAGTTTTAATTTTACATCTAAAAATGAAGGCTTTGCAGAACACACAAATAATGTTATCAAACCATAAATTGTGAAAATAATTACACCATGTTAGAGAATTTCAGGAGCTTCTGGAGTTTAATCTTAAATTTCCAATTATTTTTCAGATGAAAGAATTGACAATATTTATTCTTTTTATTCTTAGGGTGTATTTAATTAATTTAATTATTAATCTAACTCATTAATATTTTAATCTTATTATTAATTTTAAGATGTATGTAATTATTAATTAAAAATATTTGATGAAAATTACTTGTTGTTTAATTCTTTTGATTATTACTTAGCTTTAAATGGTTTCTCAATTATTTCTAAATTGTGTTTATATTCTATTAAATCATTATCTAAAGTAAATATTTTCTATTCAAATTTTTATAGTTGTGTCTATAAATATTGATGCTGTTTTCTAATAGCAGATTCTAAAATTACCTTATTTAAAACAATTTGTGCTTCCATTTCAACAGATGACCCAAGCATTCTACCAACTGGATCTTATAATTAAAGCATAACTTATTTAATCACTTAATCATCTAATTATTAAATTTTTAATTATGCTTAACCCCATAGAGTTGGTAAAGTATTTTCAGTTCTGATGTAAAATGAAATCTAAAGAGTAGAAATTAAAGGGGGAACAGAACTATATTTAGCCTTGAATAATGCTATAATTACAATTCAAAATCTTAATAAAATTCTGGATTTACTTTATCATATTATGCTTCAGGTTTAGCAATTTAATTTATAACCCCTAAAGTTAATTATACATGACAATTAGTATATTTCAAATTTAAAGGGATGTTTTTTACACATAATAATGTCAAAAATAAATATCTAGTATCAGAATAAACAGCTAATTATAGATTTATAACAAACATGTTTCTGCCAATTGGCTTTCGCAAATTGCTTTATTTTATTAAATTTATTTTAATTATAATTCTGCATTCTTTATTTTTTCTCCTAAAAGCTATGTTGCATCTATTATTGTTTAACTGATGTCTACAAGCCTAAAAACTAATTTCAAATTTAATTAAGTCGGTTTGCATTGTTAAAATAATTATTCTGCAATTTCTCGATCAAATTCCTTCTTGCCCATCATATCTAATTTTGCCAAAATTTCATCTGCTTTATACAGACTTTCCTATTTTAATCCATTTTCTTCAAATCCTCTTAATACGGTTTATAAATTTAACATATTAAAATTTATTTATAATATATTCAAGTCTATTCACAGGAACAAGTATTTACTAATGATAAATTAAATTTGCATTCAAATTAGTGACTTTGATAAATTAATACTTAAAGAAATGAAAAATCAGTTTTTTATTGATTTTTACTTAAGTTTATATATATATAGAAAAATATTGAAATATATCGAAATTAAAATTAACAAAATGAATAGTAGTACCAAAATAACATTGACTATTGAATAATTAACAGAGCTATTGATGAATCCTTAATTACCAAATATTTAAAGTAGTCTATAATCATTGTCAGATTTTGAATTGAGAAATAATAATGTAGATTTAATGAAAATAGTATCATTTGTTGATTAGGATGAGTTCCAAGCTATTAGTACATCTAGTTCAAGTAAAAATAGTCATGCTTAATAAATGATTGAGAAAATAAATGAATTGGAATTAGAAAATTCTAATCTCAAAAATTAATTAGAGAAGCAAATTCAGAAAGAAAATAATTTAAGATAATAAATGAACCAATACTTATAAGAATCAGCTAAATTAAAAACAGAGAATGAACGTTTAAATAAACAGATGGATGAACTAGAGTCATTTATAAATTAGAATAAAGTCATATCAAATAGATTAGATCCTATCTCAAAATCTGTTCATTTGGATATGAAAAAAGCCCTTATAGTAAAACCATTAACAATAACTTAACCTCTAAGAAAATTTTCAGGAACTAGTGGAATAGTAACTTAGCATCCTTTAAAAAATTCCAAAGACTTAATTAGAGTAAAAACTGAAAGAAGTAATTAATGAGACTGTCAATTTTTGATTTTTTTCTATGTTATATTACAAATATTTGTATTAATTTTGAGTATTAATGGATACATTTATTTTAATAAAGAAATTCTAGATCTATAAAAAATGACAATAAAGATATAAAATATTAATTATATTGAATTTTAGTCTTAATTTATTAGAATAATTTTAATAAAGAACGATTTGATATTTATTTATTATTTTTATTCTTTAAAATGTTTTCAATATTAATTTTGTCTACATTATTAGGAATAACCTTTTGCACTTGGAGTAGAAACCCTTAAATTAAAATAGATAAATTTAATATTACTGAATAAGCTATATCTATTAGTACACAAGATTTCAAACATTTTAAGTACCCAAATGCATTTAATTTGGAATTGTATTATTAGGAAGGATTAACTAATGAAAAAGATATTAAAAAATACTAAAAGATAAATGATATGTAATTATATTAATAAGGATGCTATTATTTTGAAAGGAAAATAAATGTTGAAGATTAATTGTAAATTAAATTGCCTGATGAGGGAAAATATACTTTTACTGATCTCATAATTGTTGAAAATTAGGCATATGTGATTAGAAATGATAATAAATTATTTCGTGTAGATTTAGACTTTGATGGTTAAGAATTAAAGGTAATAGAGTAAAATTATTAAATTTAAGAAAATGAGTATATCTCCATAACATTTAGATTTCTCTAATAAGATTCTTATCAATCTCAAAAAAAAACCATAATTTTTCACAGAAGACAATCAAATATTTGTGGTAACAGAAAAAGGAACAATTAGTTTCAATTATAAGTAATGGTAAAATGGAACATTGCCTAAAGTTAAATTTCATATTTTAAAAGATATGACCAATATCAAATAGGTTCATTATGATAAACAATTAAAAAGAGTTTTTATAGTTGCAGGAACATAACGAGTTTTAGTATATGAAATCAAGGATTAGGAATTAAGTCATTTTTAAACTATTGAATTAAATTTAAATATAATTAAAGTCTAGACTAAATATGATCAATTGTTTATATTAGATGACAAATATGGAATACATTTTTTTATTTAAAGTTAAAAAGAATACAAAAATAGTGGTATCTGTTATTCATTATATAGAATTTTTGATACCTTTGGAAAATCCAATATCTTTTATTTATAACAAAAATTCCTTTTTAGTTGTAGCTTAAAGTGTTTAAGGATTAGATAAGATAATTTTTGCAATAGAAATCTTATTTAATTTTAAAAACCAAGAATTTTATTACAATAAGTTTTATTTAGAAGATATGCAATTACAAGATGTCTAAACATGTGGTGAATTTTAATTCTTAATTGGTAATGATGTACACAAAATCATTTAAACTAACATCTATAGAGGAAAAGTTAATGAAAATTTCGATTATGATAGTGATTTCATGATACCTTTTTTAATAAAAATTCAGGAAATATAAGGAACCAATTATTAAATAGCTAATTTTCAATATCATTATTCCTTAGCATTGACTCCTTATCATTTATATGGAATTAAAATAAACGAAAGAATTCCTGAAATAGTTTGTTCTTCTTATAAATAAATTGAACATTCATATGCTATATTAATAAATTCAACTTAATGTTAGAAGGCTTAAAAAGATCCTTTTATTGTATGTAATGAAGAACATTTTATTGAAATGGTAGTGAATGAAGTATTGCTAGATTCATCATAATAATAATCAGTGATAATAATCTTGATTATGGTTGTAATAATATTTATTTTTTTATTAATTGGATACATATTTTTCACTCGATAGAAAACCAAAAAAGATAATAAGAAGGATATGATATCTCAAAAAAATGTATGATCATGCAACAACTTTTAAATAACTAAATGAAATTGAATAAATAATAAATAAATTTTATAAATATTAGATTTATTTTGGATCATCATTTGAACATGAATAATTTAGAGTTCATTTTAGATCTGAATAAAAATAATTTAATTTTAATACTTTGAACTATTTTTAACAAGGTTTTATTCAATTTATATATTTATTTCTTTCCAATATTTTCACATTCATTTGATATTGAAAATTTAATTCACTCAATTCTAATGAATTCATAAATGCTTTGAAGGAAAATTAAGAAAAGTTATGAATTATTTAAATAATATGATTTTTTATAAATGTAAAAGAGGAATATAGTTTTCATTTGCTCTTAAACTTCTCATAACTGCAAGCTTCTCTAATGACATTTATTTGATAATCATATCCTCGGTGAATTTATTTACAATTTTATTGATAATGTTAAAGAAATTTAAGCCTTTTTGGAAATATTTTCGAATAATTTTGCTTTTAGAATTATGCTTTAATGATTAACCTTTTGGACCTGTAATTATTGCATCAATTAATTATAATATAAAGTACAAGATAGTAATCTTGTCTTATTATATTTTAAGAGTAAGTCTAATATTTTTTCATACTTTCAAGATTATTGATTGGGTTTATCTTGGAATCCTATTTATTGGCTTCAATGCATACTTTTATTTACATGTAATATCTTTTTTATTTTTAGGATAGAAAATTATCAGACAGTAAAATAAATTCTCAATCTTAAAGGAAATTGACTCAATTAGACATTACATCTCAAAATGATTATAATGATATGTTTGATTACTTCAATTATATACCTTTGGGAATATGTTTATTAGATAATAATTACAATATATTGAATTATAACCAAAAAACAACAAAATATTGCTCAACTATAAAAGAAGATTGTTTATAATAACAACTACATTTGATAATCCAAAGGTAAAGAAATTAAAATTTTGATTTTTAGAGCATGGATTTAACAGTAATAGAATCCGAGTGCTTTAAGATTTGAAAGGAGATCTATTTTCAATTCATCCGAAGATTATGGATCGGACTTTTAATTAAAAAGAATGTAATCTTTTAGTTAAACGAGAAAAAAAGCAATCTCATTTACTTCATGTAAATAGTATGGTAATGTTTTTGATGTTGCTCAAATTATAAATAAATTCAAATAAAAAGGTATAACAGGTTTAGTTAATTTAAACTCTCTTAAATATAAAGATTCCTCTAGTTTAAAAACTTATGAGATTAAGATTTATGAAATCACCAAAGGGTATTTAATCATGATTAAAAATATAACAAAAAAGGAAAAATAAATTGATATGAAGGATAGGTATCATTTTCAATAAATGCTTATCAATTCCTTTTCACATGAATTACGCACTCCTTTAAATTGTTCCTTATCACTGTTATAAACATTAGAATAATAAGTGAAATCAGATTTGAATGATACATATTTAAAGCCTGCAATAATTTCAAATAAAAAGTTATTGCATCAAATTAATGATATTTTAGATTTTGCAAATTTTGAAGTAAAAACATTCAAATTACGGCCTACAATTTTTAAATTGTCTAGTTTAATAAAGACAATTGAAGATTATTTTAAGGCAGAATGTGAATAAAAGGAGATTAAATTTGTCATAAAAGTTTGTGATGATGCATTTATTAGAAGTGATTTCGATAGGATATTGCAAATTCTGGTTAATTTATTAAACAATTCGGTAAAATTTACAAAGCAAAAAGGAGTGATTTAATTGAATGTTTAAAGAGTGGGATCATTGTATCAATTCGGAGTGTATGATACAGGATGTGGAATTTCACCTGAAAAATTATTTTTAATCAATAAAATATTGTAAAATTCTGAAGTGGATATTGCAAGAAGAGGAGAAGAAGACTATATTTAATATGTAGGTCTGGGATTGAAAGTTTCTAGTTAAATTGCTAGATAATTATGTGATAAAGGTGAATTGAGTATTACAAGTTAATTGAATCAATTCACAAATAATAGATTTATTGTAAAAGATTTATAATCATACGATGAAGCATTAACAATACCAACAGATGAATGTATTTAAGAACCATACAAGAGTAAGGTAAAAACTAAGTGTAATTGTTTAAATGTATTAATAGTGGATGACATCCCTTTTAATCATTTAGCTTTTATCACTGTTTTGAAATACTTTAATGTAAAGAGTGACAGTGCATATGATGGATAAATGGCTATAGATATGGTTAAAAGTCGATATAAAAATTGTTCATGTACATATAAACTTATATTCATGGATATTGATATGCCTGGAATTGATGGATATTAGACAACTAAAGAAATATAGCAATTTTTATCATAGAATGACTTAAGTTCCACTGTTATTATGTGTAGCGCATTTGATAGCAAAGAAAATATTGATTTCGCCTACAAAAGTGGAATGAAAGATATCCTTCCAAAGCCAATAGAAACATGTAGACTCAAAAAAATACTATATAAATATTATTTCTGATTATAAATCTTATATTATAGATTGAATTCATACTTATTTCTTCTTGTAGTTCTGATTTTTCTGAATAGATTTCCAACAAATTTTAATAATAAAATAAACATTAAACTATTTTAGTGATTATAAATAAATATTAAGAATGCAAAATCATACTTGAATAATAAAATGATAATATTGAATAAAAGTTTATGATGAATTTAAAACTAAAATATCAATATAATTTTAATACTAATTAAAATGCCAATAATTATCGTGACTTTGATTATTTAATCCATTATTATGTCTATATATAATGGTGTTACCTAAACTTAGCAAAATTACTTTTTATTGTTTGATATATTCTTACTTTTGGGATAATTTGGGTAAAACTTATAGTTGATATTATTGATTGGTAGTATTTGTTTGTAAAATGAATTGCTAACCGCTGAAGAGAATGTAAAATTAATTTTAATGTAGATCAAATGTTTTTATTTGAGTATGCGTTTTATTCTTAGTGCTAATGTGCTTTTATTAAAACAGAAATCTATCTACTTTTTGTTTTGCTTATTTTATTTTCTTTTCAGGAGTCATATTTACTTATAACCATTATCGTATATGTCCATATTTGGCTATTTAATGATTTTGATATAATGTATTGTTTTTAATAAACCAAAAAGGTCAATATCATAAACTATCGAAAGAAAAAAATAACAATCCCTAAACGCAAGAGCTTTTTGATTTTTTTAGAACTTGCCTACCTATTCCATTATGTATAATTCAAAATAATTGTATTATATTTTGGTTAATTTTAGAGTTTTTGTTTAAAACTGATTAGTTTATATCTGAATATGTCGATATTACTCCCCAACTTATAAGGTAGATTTCTTCAGGTAAAACTAAGGAAAGCATAAATAATTTCCTATCAAATAGGAGATTCAATACAAATAAATCATTTATGTATTAAGGAGGAAAAAAACTCGAAAATTGCGGCATCTTATAGAATGATAATCAAAAAGAACTCTATTGTAATATTAAAAATTGCTTTCCTGTTGATATTGAGGTGGCAGAAGTAATATGGGAATAACAGCCAGCTACAATGTTAATTTTTCAAACTTAATAACAGCGACTTGAATAAAATTAGATAAAGGAATTATAATAAAGAGATTAATATAAAGATGAAATGCTTGCAAGTGTTTCACATGATTTCAAAACTCCAATCAATGGGATAGTGGCTATAGTGTAATTTTTAGAATCGTAAGCATTTTACATTTAATTTAAGGATTGTAATTAACTAAATTGAACTTAATTATTTAATTATATTGAAAAAGTGGGCTTAATTATTGTTATATATGATTAGTGACATTTTGGATTTTTCTAGAATTCAAAATAACACTTTAAGATTGACAAGCACTCCTTTTCTTATCAATGTAATTGTCTAAGAAATTATCGATTTGATATCACTGTAAGCTAATCAAAAAGGAATTGAGGTGGAAAAGAAAATAACTTTAGATGAAGATATAAGCATGAATTCAGATCCGAATAGAATAAAGTAGATTTTATTAAATTTGTTAAGTAATTCTTTAAAATTTACAGAGAAGGGAAAAATAAAGATTTAAGTTGATTATAAAAATAATGAACTAGATAATTAATTTAAAGTAATTACAATTAGTGTTTCAGACACAGGAGTAGGTATTCCTGATAAAATTAAACCAAAGCTATTTTAAATGTACGGTACTTTTGATTTTACCAGTAATGGATCAAACAAACATGGAATAGGATTAGGGTTGTTTATATGTAAGAAATTAGTTGGATTATTGGGTCCTACTGATAAAATTGATTTGAAAAGTTAAGTTGGGATTGGTTCAACATTTAGCTTTGATGTTTATTGCAATATTGATTAGAGAAATATACTTTCTAAACAATATCAAAAGGAAATGACTAATATTTATAAGTAAGATCCTAAATAAAGTTTATGTGATCATCACCATACTAATGTAATAACTTCTTAGTATACTATTTTCAATTAAACAAGTCATTCATAAATAATCCACAATAATAATAATCATAAAATAACAAAAAAGTTGAATAATAAAACAATATCAACCCAATAAGAAATTTATCATAGTAAAAAAATGCATAAGCCTTAACAATTTCACTCTTTATATCCTCAAAAATAATCAATCAAAAAGGAGAATAATGATAATATTGTATCTTTAAATTTAGAAGATTCTGATAATTCTAAAACAAGAAATATTGAATAATACTTAGAATTTCATAACGATATAACTTATGCTACATAAGTGTTTAAAAACCAATAAAATATTGAAATAAATAACAACCCAATGAATTCACCATTTAATTAGATTGAAAGTTAAGAGTCTCCATATATTCATAATTTGCAACCGAAACCATTATAATTTACTGAATCAATTGAGGATATGATGAGTAATCTTTTTCCATAACCAATAAATATTTTAGTTGTAGATGATTCACCAGTTAATGTCTTTGCATTTAGATTGATAATGCAAAAATATGATTTTATCACTATTGATGAAGCATATAATGGAGAATAAGCAATTTAGAAAATCAGAAATAGTAGAAAAGAAGGTAAAAAGTATGAATATATTTTCATGGACTTAACCATGCCCATCTTAAATGGATATGAAGCTGCTGAATAGATTAGAATTATGGTATCATATTGATTTTATTTTTATTTGATTTTAGGAGAAGGATAACTTTATTGAAAAAAGTTTCATCATTGCCTTGACTGGATATGACGATCTAAAAGAAAAAGAGAAATGCTAATAAAAAGGATTTGATGCATTTCTTTCTAAACCTATTAAAATTATTGACATTATCTCGGTAGTTAATGAAGTAAAAAGTATTAAAGAACCCTTAATTTGATTTCATTATTTAACTTATTTTATATCTAATTTCAGTACATAACTTTAAGATAAAAATGATAACTTTCATTCTTTAATCTAAACAACTTTTATTTTTTACATTTATTTATATTAATATACAGAATTAGTCAGTTCTAAAATTATTGAATTAAATTACATTAATATTTTTTTTTTATTAATAAATTTATTGAGCAGTTAATGTCCTTTACACCTCGCCAAATGAAATCACAAAACAAAGAATTATAACTAACCACCATTCCTTATGTTAGCAAATTTCAGAGAACTTTTACAAATGAGGAAATTTCAAGCGTGTCTAAAAAATTAGATTTTGATTAATTTGACAATTAAGTGATAAAACCTAACACCATTTTGAAAATGAACTCTCTTCCATTTAAGGGAATTGGTCAAATAAGATGATCTAATTACTAAATACTGATTGTTAATTGTGTATAGTTTACTCATACTTTATTTAAACTCAAAATTAATTATTGATTTTAATTTCATAATAAAATATTTCATTCATTAAAGATGTAAAATTAAAATAAATCTCATCCTTTATTTAGATTTTATTTATTAATTATTTATAAAAATAATAATTAACTACAAACTAAACACAATTAATCATATATTTTTTAAACAATACTTTTGGAAGCATATAAATGTATTTTGAAGCTTTATATCGATAATAATTGTAATCTAATATGATTTGTAATCAGAAAATCGTTAAAATATGTTAAGATATCATAATTAACATACTGTAAGATTCATAAGCACCATATATCTAAATTTTACAGTAAGTCTTTAACTTATAGATGAATGAGCTAATAGAATTTTTAAGCATATGATTGAATTGATCTGACTTAAAGAATTCTTAACAATTTAAGTGGAGTAAATAGTATTCAAAAATGAAGATCAATATATTTAAAATATATGATACAAAAAGATATGTGAATGCTGGAGGCATTTTTAATTAATAGAACACCTAAAAGTATTTAGTTTTGAAGGAGATGGGTTTTGATAGGATGGAAGAATGTTTAGTTTACTAAAGAGAGGCTTTTAATTTTGCAATTTAATTTGCTCAGATTTCTTATTATAAAAAAATTAAATATTAATCATACACAAATCTAAGGTTTAATAATCTTTAAAATATTAACCTTTGAATGAATATGCTAGAAGGATGTAGAATTAAGAATATAATTTTATTAACTTGAACTCTAATTGAATGCGAAAATTATGAAATAGGTATCATCTATTGGACTGAATGTCTTTTTTTTATGAGTAATTCTAAAGGTCAAAAGTTTTGGAACAAAAATTAATAAAAAGGTATTGAGATCATTTATAAATACAATTGGAAGAAAAAAATGGAATGATTAAAACTCCTTTCAGAATAGATCAAATCTAAAATGAAACAAGAAGAACTTAGAAAATTAAATCAGAGTTAAATACTAGACTCAATAAATTTACTGGATAAGTATAATCTTCAAATAATTAATAAGACGAATTATATTTGAAAAGCTTATAAAAGAATTCCAACTATATTTAAATATTTATCTTAGAATCAAAATTTAGGAAAAAACAATTAATTTTAAGAATTTTAATAAATAACTTAAAGATACTAAATAGAAAATGAAAAAATAAGAAAATAACAAAGTTTAAATACAAGCAAACACTTAATCCAAATAATGTAAAAATATTAATAACGTTAGAATTTTATGCCAAAATAATCAAGTGAGAATTTTAGAATGATAATATAATGGATTTTATTTTGTATAAGTCAAGTTAATTGCATGCAGAAGATAAAGAATTCAGATATAATAAAAATTAAATTGAGCCCTAATAATATACTCAAAAAAAATAATATTTAAATCAAATAATGGAGGGTTTCTAATAGAAAAATGACAATAGGCTAATTTTAGTTTACAAATATTTTTATATAAGAAATATGTTGGACACTAATTTTATATTTTATTATCATTGGTGCATCATTACTTACCATCACCTCCCTTCCCTTGATTCTCCTCATCTAAAGGTTGTTTATCTTCTTTGATGTTGTTACTTTCTTACTTATCTCCTTCAACGCTAAACAGAATTCAACTTTAAAAGTACGAGCCGGAAGACTCTGAATTGTGTGAGTCTTTTGAAGAGCCTCTTGATGAGGACTTTGATTTCCTTTTTGAACTCTTTCGCTTCTTATTCTATTTCTTTTTCTTATCTCTAGATGAACTACTTGATGAGGAATCTGAACTGGATGAACTCTTCTTTTTTTTATGTTTCTTTTTATGTTTTTTTCTAGACTCACTAAAATTTATTATTATCTATTCTTTACCTACTAGAGCTAGATGAACTAGAAGATGAAGATCTATGTCTACAATTCTTAGCACTAATAATAATAGGTAAATGAATATATATAAAATATATCGTATTCTATAATAAATAGTAAATACGATATAAAATCTTACAAATGTCCAGAGTGACCGCATGAATAGCATAGGCCATTATTTTTGCTCGGTTTATTTCCACGAGCCATCTCAACCTATAACACCGATCCTTTTACTTCTTCCTTATTCATTTTTTTTACAGCTTTCTCTGCATCTTCAGGATCTTTAAATTCCTATAATTAAATCATTATATCTACTATGAAACAATATTTTCCTTTCCAAGCAAACTCTTCAATTTTTCCAAATTTTTTGAATAACTTTTTTATATCATGTTAATCCTCTTTTAGAGAATAACCTGTCACATATACTCTTTTTTTATTCTTTCTAGGTGACCGTGACCTTGATGAACTAGAAGAAGACATGTAATTTAAATAAAGGATACTTTTTTTAATATAATTTTTTATACTCAATATTTGTAATGTCTCATTCTTTTATTTATATTACAAGATCAAACATAAAAAAAACAATCCTCTTGAAATTTTACTTATTTAACATATAAAAATATAATTTAATTGCCTCAATTTTTAAATAAAGCTGTTTATGATATTATTTTCACAACTAAATATTTTAATTATATTCAATAACTTTTCTTTAGAAAATTAAAGCTTCTATCTAATTATCATTAATATATTATTATCGTTTGATTGACAAAAATTTGTATTAAATCATTAATTATGTTATATTCTCATTTTATATCATTATTAATAAGAAAGTAATTGATTTCTTTAACTAAAATTATCACCAAATTTAAATAATCTAATAAAATTTAGTTTATGATACCTATATATATCTAAAAATAAATATTTTTGAATGAGGACTTACTTTAATGAAAATAAACTAAATTTCACACATAATAATTTTCCAAAATTGATGAAAGAAACAGGTTGAATTGATAGAAAATTAATGAAATATTCAGTTAATATAAAGAATTGCTAAGTTAGGATTGCTCTCAAATTTCTAAATTAACAAAAGAGAGTAAATATATCAATTACTTTAGTTATACCAAACGGTATATCTAGAGAGGCTTTATTGATAAAGGAAATTATTGATATGTAGATCAAATTTAAAAAATGTTTGCTTTTTAATATTCTTTTATATTTTGAAACTTGAATTAGAGCAAAAGGAAATGAAAATAAAATAGAGCTATTTTGAAAGCAAATCATAAGTTATATCAAAATTTGATATATGAAAATGAGAATGGTATTTTGTCATATGAAGAAATAAAAATAGGTTCAGTTTTAGAATGTAAGAATTACGAATTGAATTAAAAAGTCATTCAATCTACTATAATATGATTAAATAAGTGACCAGATTCATTTTGGATTTCTTTATTTAAATTTTATTAAAAGGAAGTAAAGATGAAATAAAATGAAGAAATTCCGATTGATAAGATAAGAAAACTGATATATAGTTAAACCCATGAAGCTTAGAAATTGTTAATGATGCTTAATAGAAATGTTAATTATCTAAAATTACATATAATAATAACACATGTCTTATGAGATCTTTCATTTCTTATTGCCATGTTTTCAATTTTTATATTAATATAAAATTTGAAATCATAAATTATATTTTTTTATTATCTGAAGTTTAGATAAATATAAGTTTAGAATCTAGCTTTAAAACGAAGATAGAATTTTATAATTTTCATTATCAGCTATCTAGTTAAAATTATAACTATTGATAGTATATTTTCTTATCCATTTCTTACTTTAATTTAAATAATAATATAATGAGATTCATATATATATTTTTAGCATATAATTTGGTAAAGTATAATATGGAAGATAATTATTGATGCAAATTGATATGAATGGAAATAGCTCAATTTTTCTTATTATTATAATTAACATCTATTTTAGATTTTCGAAATTCTCCATTTGCAGCAGCAGATACAAAGCTAACAAATAGAGGATTAGGTTTGAAATTTTTGGAAGTGAATTCTGGATGATATTGTACTCCTACAAAGAAAGGATGTAAATGATTTGGTAATTCTAAAATCTTGAAATAATGTTAAATAAATACTTCCATTCGTTACCCAGTTTTTCTATCTTTTCCTGAGAATACAAGACCGTTTTCAGTTAGATTTTGAATCTTTTAAGGATTGACTTCATACCGATGTCTATGTCTTTCTTCTACAACTTCAGAGTCGTATATTTGATATGCAATACTATCTTTATTTCTAAAAATAATTTATATATCTTACTCAATTATTGTTTAATGATTTCCTAATCTCATATTACCTCCAAATAATTTTGGATTGATTTCAGGCATAAACACAACAAAATTGGATCCAATTAATTCATCTTTTAATTCTTCAGTTGTAGCATCTTTTACTCCTAAGACATTTCTGGCATATTCAACGACAGCTGCTTAGAAGCCATAACAGATGCCTAGAAATGGTATTTTATTTTCTCGAGCATATTAGCAGCACTTGATTTTAAGGTTGAAACCATTATATCCAAATCCACCAGGAACAAGAATAGCATCAAATTATTTGCATTCCTTTTCAAGTTCTTCTTCAGCATTTTGTTTACTTGAAAAATCTATAAGATCAATATATTTTAATTATAAATTGACTTTAATAGCATAACTAGCTTCCTTTAATGCTTTTATTAAAGACATATATGCATCCTATATAGATAACAATAAACAACCAGATTTTTCATATATTTTCCCATGATTCCAATTGTAACAGGTTTAGAAGTCTAGAGATCATTCAAGTACTGTCCAAATTAGGTATATTATTAAATATTTGGAACTTATTAAATTGGTAACTTAAACTTTTCTAAAATACGTTCAGCCAACTTTTATTTTTGTAAAACTTCAGGAACATCATATATATGTTAGGAATTAGGAACAGAAAATATAGAATCTTTAGAAATATTTCCAAACATAGCAAGTTTGTCTCTCTATGGATTTTATAATTCATTTTCAGATNCTTTAATTTAAATAATAATATAATGAGATTCATATATATATTTTTAGCATATAATTTGGTAAAGTATAATATGGAAGATAATTATTGATGCAAATTGATATGAATGGAAATAGCTCAATTTTTCTTATTATTATAATTAACATCTATTTTAGATTTTCGAAATTCTCCATTTGCAGCAGCAGATACAAAGCTAACAAATAGAGGATTAGGTTTGAAATTTTTGGAAGTGAATTCTGGATGATATTGTACTCCTACAAAGAAAGGATGTAAATGATTTGGTAATTCTAAAATCTTGAAATAATGTTAAATAAATACTTCCATTCGTTACCCAGTTTTTCTATCTTTTCCTGAGAATACAAGACCGTTTTCAGTTAGATTTTGAATCTTTTAAGGATTGACTTCATACCGATGTCTATGTCTTTCTTCTACAACTTCAGAGTCGTATATTTGATATGCAATACTATCTTTATTTCTAAAAATAATTTATATATCTTACTCAATTATTGTTTAATGATTTCCTAATCTCATATTACCTCCAAATAATTTTGGATTGATTTCAGGCATAAACACAACAAAATTGGATCCAATTAATTCATCTTTTAATTCTTCAGTTGTAGCATCTTTTACTCCTAAGACATTTCTGGCATATTCAACGACAGCTGCTTAGAAGCCATAACAGATGCCTAGAAATGGTATTTTATTTTCTCGAGCATATTAGCAGCACTTGATTTTAAGGTTGAAACCATTATATCCAAATCCACCAGGAACAAGAATAGCATCAAATTATTTGCATTCCTTTTCAAGTTCTTCTTCAGCATTTTGTTTACTTGAAAAATCTATAAGATCAATATATTTTAATTATAAATTGACTTTAATAGCATAACTAGCTTCCTTTAATGCTTTTATTAAAGACATATATGCATCCTATATAGATAACAATAAACAACCAGATTTTTCATATATTTTCCCATGATTCCAATTGTAACAGGTTTAGAAGTCTAGAGATCATTCAAGTACTGTCCAAATTAGGTATATTATTAAATATTTGGAACTTATTAAATTGGTAACTTAAACTTTTCTAAAATACGTTCAGCCAACTTTTATTTTTGTAAAACTTCAGGAACATCATATATATGTTAGGAATTAGGAACAGAAAATATAGAATCTTTAGAAATATTTCCAAACATAGCAAGTTTGTCTCTCTATGGATTTTATAATTCATTTTCAGATCTACATATGATAAAATCAGCTAACAATCCTGTGTATCTCAAATCCTTAATACCATTTTGAGCTGGTTTTGTTTTTTGTTCATTATTTAATGTTAAAATATATGTAAGCATAATCTAAAATATATTGAAAAAATGATTACCAAACCAACATTTTCTTTACCCTCTTCATTTATCATTTATCGAACTGCCTCGTAATAGCATGTAGATTCTAAGTCACCAACTGTTCCTCCTACCTCTATCAATAAAATATCTGGCCTTTCATTTGTATCCGATTTTAATGGTACTGTCGTTAGGTTTTTAATCCAATTTTTTATTTCATCTACCACATGAGGAATTACTTAAACAGTTTTCCCTAAATAGTGACCTTCTCTTTCTTTTCTATTTTTATTAATGATACTTAGTACTGTAATATTTTCTAATATAACTTCCCACTTGTTAAACTATGATAAAATGATAATTCAATATCTAAAAATCTTTCATAATTTCCAATATCTAAATCAACTTCACCCCTAATATCATTATTTTAATGCTTACCCATCACCTGTTACAAACACCTCTCCATGTTCATAAGGATTCATTGTTCCTGCATCAATATTCTACCTTATTTAATAAATCATACTAAATATGGATCAATTTTCAAAAATGACACCTTGTAACCATATTCTTTCAACAACATACCAATACTACTATTTATTGTTCCTTTCCCTATTCCTGATGCTATTGCACCACAAATAAACAAATACTTACACTTTTTAAACATATTAATAAATATGGATTAAGTTTTTAATCATTTGATAAAAAGGGCAACTCCCTAACCTATTATTAAAGTTGGAACACCTTGGTAATGCATTCCAATTAAAAATGATAAATAAGCAAGAGATACAACAGAAGTTCATATGGCCAATTAAGGATTTAATGAACTATCCCAATTTGATAAATTCATGAATCTTGAGGTGGTTTGGTTAAATGAAAATTAAGTACAGAATAAAACTTAATTGATATTAGTTAACCAGTATCAAAGGAATAGAATAGAACTTTAGAATTAAACATCTATATTTACAAAAGAATAAAATTAGTACTCTTGAAGGACTATAAAATTTAAAGCATTTAGAAACATTGAGCTTGTTTAATAATGAGTTAAGAGATTTAGAAAAAAACCTTTTGATTTTGAAGGAGTTTCCTGGACTTACTACTTTGGGTTTAAATATTGTTTTATATTATCTTAGATTTATTTAATAACCCAGTTGCAGAAGAACCTTATTATCGAAATAGAGTGATTTCAGCTCTTCCATAATTATAATTATTGGATAGATCAATAATAACGGTATAGGAAAAGATCAAGGTTGAAGCATGGTACAAAGATTTCAAAGCAGAAGTTAAAATAAAAAAGAAAGGATAGAAAAAGTAAAAGTTGCTTCCTTCATAAATTTTTTCAGTAGGAGAGAAATTGCTTTATAAGGAAGTAGATGAAATAAAAGCAAAGAGAGAATAAGAGAAAGCTGATGAGATATAAAGAGAAAGAACTAGAATAAAATAAAAAGAAAAAACATTTGATCCTAATAAATTTCCAACTAATGAATTGAAAGAACAATTAAGATAGCGACTTCATGATAATCCAATGAGTTTAGTAAATGAATGGGAGAAGGGGAAGTTAAAAAAGATTTTTAAGTAATATGATAAAGGTAATGAATGAGAAATTTAAACTAGAAAAGAAAGGATCAATTACATAGGATAAATTGTAAGGACTTTATGGAGATTTAATTAATGATATAGCTAATATTGGTAAGGTACCTGCTGTGTCATTTGAGAAATTTAAAGAAGTTATGTCAGAAGATCCATTGCCTTGGGATTCATTTTGTTTTTAATTAAACCATGTAGATTTTTAAAGGGCTCCTGAAGAAATTTTATAGAAGAAAATAGATGAGAAATATAAAGAATTCAATAGAAGATTAAATGCAGGAAAGAAGGGTGAAGCTAAAGAATTTATGATTGAAGCAGTGAGACTTGAAGCAGCAAGAGATAAAGATGAACATAAGTAAATAAAAATAATAAATAAAAATAGATTACCAGAGATTATACCTGAAGACAATACTAAAATAAGAAGTGATTGCTTTGATTTTTCAAGATATAAATATAAATCGAATTTCACAGATACTGCAAAATACCTTTTATAATGATATCATGATCAATATTATGATTATATTAACAAATTTGACAATCACAATATTCTGATTTCATTTCATAATAATTTTATTATAAAACTTATTATTTATATATGTTAACTTTTAAAGTTATTTTACCAGATTAATCAGAAGCTCAATATCAAATATCTAAAACTTCAAGTGTTAAATAATTTGTCTAATTCTTAAAGGAATAGAATAATGATAAAGATTGGAATAAATATGAATTAGAGTTATATTTATTTGATTAATGTTTAAATCAAGATGGATAAGTAGATAAAATTATATGTAGTCCATAAAATGATTACTTAACTTTGAAAGTAAAAAAAGGGGAAAGAATTAAAAGATTATAAACATTTTTTACTTCTGCTTTGGAGAAAATGCAAAAGAAAACTAAAGCTGATATGACAGGTCTTTAGAAGGCTTTAAAGAAGAGTTCAACTATATAAGATATACCATAATAAACAGAAAAAAAGAATATAAAAAAGTTATTGTCCTTTTTTGTAAGTGCTTCTCATAAAATTGCTGAAATGTCAAGATAAAAAACATTAAATTTTACTGAAAAAGTTTAATAAAATGAAAAAGTCAAACATATGGCTTATAGTTAGGATCCAAGTAGAATAAATTAAGAAGAGGATCCATTAAAAAATAACAATGATACTGTACTGGGTTTATTAGATCATTTAGAAAAACCAAACAATTAAAATTTTTATCATAAAAATAATGATACATAGATAAAACCTAAATCTTTAAGTCCAGAAGCAAGAAAATACTTAGAGAGAAAGAAGAAAGCCATAGAGAATTTAAATGATCCTAATTAATAAGCAAAAGCTAAATAATTAGTTGCTGAATTGAAAAGACAAAGAAAAGAATTAGAAAATAGAAGGACTAAATAATTAAACAATGAATCAGATTAATTGGAGGAAAGCATCGAAAAATATAAAATAGAAAGAGAACAATACAAAGAATATCTTAATTAAGAAAAACGAATGAAAATTTAAGAAAGATTATTAGAAATGTAGAAAAATCAAGAAATATAATAATAAAGAAATTATGAATAAAAAAATCTTATTTAGGAATTGAAAAATAAGGAAAGGGAGAAAAAGAAACTATTAGAAGAAAAAGAAGAAATTTTAAAAAAATAATATTATGAAGATGCAAAAGTAATTTATATTGTATTAATTAAAGCTAAAATTATAACAAAGAAAAAAATTAGCTATTCCTATCAGATTGGAAGAAATTAATAAGCATGAAGAAGATTATTTAAATAAGAAGCAGTTACTCAAATTGGAAAAGGATTAAAAAAAAATAGAAAGGGAAATTGTAATACAATAAGAAACTAAATAAATATATAAAGCTAAATAAATTTTATAAAAAGTTATGGATGGAGATTAGAAAATCAAAAACAAAGAAATTGTTGAAAAATAATAAAAAGCTGAAAAAATATTAAGAAAATAGAAATATGCCGAAATAGTTAAAGAATATCATAAGCCAAACATAAAAATTTAAACAGACATTTAATTTAGTAGAGCAAATAAATCAGATAATTCAATTTAAGAAGAATATATTGAGTATGAAATTTAATCGTTTAATTAGTTTTTTAAAAGAAGGAGAAGGTAAATCAAGCTCAACAAAAGTAGACTCAATTCGTAATAGATTGTATAGATAAGCATAATAAGGATCAGGTATTTTAGTTAATAATAGTAGAAAAGAATGTACATAAAATTTAAAATGTTTTAAATTTATAAAAAGTAAACAAAACGAGAGTGACAGAATCCTTGTAAAGAGGTTTTGTACCAAATCCTTCCCTTTATTATTAGCCTAAAGGAATGAAGAGTGAAGTTTAAGTTGAAGAATAATAAAAGAAAAAACCAATAAATTATTTAAAAGAATTAGAAAAAGAAAGAAAGAATTAATAAGGAAAAGTAGGACAGTAAAAAAGTCTTAGTGTTCCTAGATTGCAATAAGATTATAAATCAATAATAGAAAGAGGTAAACGATATGAGAAAGAAGCATAACGTAAAGAACATGAGGCATTCTATAAAAATAATGAGACATTAAAGGAAGAAGCAGACGATTTATTTTTAAAAAGTGTCTAAGAAAAAATAAGATTCTTGGAGAAAATTTGATGAAATATAGAAATTTAGCTATAAACTTGAAATAGTTAAATTATTTATTTATTTACATTTTTGTTTTCTAATAAATAATGTATAATTA